GTATTCATCACGATTAGCCCAAGATTTAGGAGACGATGTCAAGAATTCTTTTGGTAGATTGAGAGAGTCAAACAAATTCATTGAGCGTTGTGTAACAAAGTTAGCTATAGAAAGTTTAGAGAATGTGTAAATCTAGTTTGAAGCAAGCCTTTTATTGTCACCTGGTAATGGTTCTTTTTGTAAGGCATTTACAATTTCCATTTTCTCTTCAAAAGAAATTTCTTCACTGAATAATGGGAGAGCAGCTAGATCTTCACTTAATTACCATAATTGAAGTTTAATTTTATTTTTTGCAACATTTGCAACTTTGCTGTCAACTTGACAATAGTTCTTGATTACTTTTAAAAAAAGGAGATCATTTTTTGGTGCTTCTGTTGTGAAAGGTGCTGAAAACCAGAAACATACATAAATTGTGGTTATGAAGAGACAAATTCTTCTTAAAATCCCGATTTCTTTATCTGTGACATTTAATTGATGGCGAAAACCAAAAATTTTTAAACAGTATATTCCTTTAGCCATCTATCTTGCACGATGGTAAGCCCCAGGAGTGCGAATACTTGTTGTATCATTAATTTCTCCCAAAAGGAGAAGAGCTAGTTGCCCAAACTCTTTATAATCATCACGTGGTTGAATGCCCTTTAAGTTTTTTTTTAATTTTCCACCACATCGGATTTTTGAGATGCAAGCCACCCTTTTTCAAGCTTTGTAAGGCATCCAGTTCTGCTTGTATCACTTTCAAGTGGTTCAAACTTTGATTTTTCTATTAACTCCCAATGGGACTTCACTCTACCAAAGAGTTCAATGTTTGGTCCTTTTGATACAAAAAAATGTATCAAACACTGCATTTGCACACATTTCAAGAATATGATGTCGACAGGCTAAAAACAAAACTCTTTGGTTCACTGACTTCTGTATGACAGTTATTGCCCCATTATAACTTCCTGTATTACTTGCAGTTGTGTCAAAGCAAAGACCTGCAAGATTCTCCTGGACGCCAGGCCATTCATGAAAGAATTCAACTACCTTCTGTCCCATCAGAGCACCAGTACTAGCAGGTATCTCAGGGATCCCTAGTAATTTCTCAATATCTAAGCCCGATACAACAATTGGCAGACATTTGCGTCTGGTTCTATCAACATATGACAACATTTTACCATCAAAATGAGCAACTAGCGGAACCAAGGGTTGAAAATCTTTTCTTACTGCTGTTGAAAGAGATTTGCGAGGTGTAGTTCAAGCTCCTATTAGAGTGGAACATGATAATGTTAATTTATTTACATCAATACCGATTGCAGCTAAGGCTGGTGTGACAAAAATCATTGCATGTCGTGGTGTTATTTTTGTTCGGTCTAATGTTGTATGAAAGAGTTGATTATCAAGAATACAATGTTTGGATACTGTAATTGAGAGTTGACTAGTACCCATAGTAGAATGTTTTGAAATTTTTTGACAATTAAAAACTTTTTGTATTTGAATTGACGCATCACAGTCAGAATTTTCATCCAAAGAGTAATCTAAATTGTCATCCATTAATGTTTCTGTAGATTTAACTTTACTTTCTTTATGTTGTTCATAGCGTCTTTTTTCTTCAAGCTTGCAATTTCTGTATTTTACAACTGCTTTCTTATACATTAGGTCTTCCGATGTCATTAACATCTTTCTGGGGCCTCTCTGGTCTATTAGAAATTGTTTATCTTCATTTATCTTGATGAGAGAACCCCATTCACTATGGACAATATCAAAAAGTGTAGACATCTTGGTGGTGAATTTTTCTTCATAGCTGTGTTGAGTAGCTGATTTTCTACTTCTGTGCTTAGACACTTGAACATGTTGCTTGTGAATACTCTTTAGTTTAGCAACTACATGAGGCTTTGCTATAGTTGGAATATTAGCCTTAAGCCAGAAAATCATAACTTCGATGTTGAAAGAGTTGACTTTTTGACTATCATTTCATAAAAAACTCTACATAGTGCAACACCACTTGTTGGCAACTGACTCGGACCATCTATTGTGGAGAGAATATGTCTAACTAGGCAAACATTTGTAGTTGAGCGTGTTGCTTTGTTTGAAGCAGCCATCTTCTTATGTGATGATTTTATACTTTTTTACTATAATAGAAAGAATATAACAGAAATTTAACAATTACAAAGTGCTCAAAGCAAAATAAAAAATTAAAAGTCTTGGATAATACACCCACCCCCCATTCATTCCTAACCCTTTCCCACCCAACAATGGCCAACCATGTCATTCTTATTATTAAATTTATACAAATTTAATTTCTGAGCTAAAGTTTACTTAAAAAAAGTTTACTTGAAATTATAGCAAATAAAATGTTTTTGAAATCAAATTAGGCATTTAGGAGTGATTTTGGGTAAATAATGCTGAGGGGGGTTAATCTAAATTTGCTTGTACTTTCCAGTCTTTTGTGATCTTCTATGTTGTAACATTAAAATACTTTATATTATTTGGTTTTAGATCAATTTATAGCAGTATTTTCTATGAAATAAAAATAGAATTACAAGATTAAGTTTTTAGACAAATTTTGGTCAATTTAGGGTTCCGAAATAGGGTTTGGGGGACCACTTCCCATTTTAAGTTTGCAAAAAAATTTTAACTATATACTTTTTATAACAGACCTCACCAAATAAGAGATTGTGCGATTTAAAATTTGAAAAAAAAAATTTTTCCATATTAAAAAAAACCACCCTAATATATATATATATATATATATATATATATATATATATATATATATATATATATATATACATATATATATATATATATATATATATATATATATATATATATATATATATATATATATATATATATATATATATATATATATATATATATATATATATATATATATATATATATATATATATATAGTTTAAAGTCAAAAAGGCATGTCCATATTTGGCAGCTTTAATAAAACAGATTTTCAAAGATAGATCCAAAAAAATCCTGTTTCCATGAAGAGTTTTTTTTCAAAACTGTCACTTTTTTTCCCCTCGAATTTCAACAGATGTCATTCTTATTTTCTTTTTGGATACCCAGCAACAAAGCATGTATCTGTTGCTGGGTATCTAAAAAGCTAAATTGTAATGGTTTATATATACTCTACAGTAATAATAATAATAATAACAATAATAATGATAAATAGCTGCTTTCTTTCTGTTTCTTCTGTTTTTAGGTCTGTTAGTTTCATGCTCATACCAGTGTCTTAGAATTCTTAAAACTCTATCAGGATTTATGGATATATAATATAAATTAAATATTGGATTTTGTTGCTAAAACAATTTTTTTTAATATACACATATAACTTATGCTTTTATTTCTGAATTAAAAGAAAAATACTTGTATACTTACACAATATTGAACAAAATGAAGCTTGGAAAACTCGTAGTTTGTATCTTTTAATGTGTAAAAAGTACTCAATACTCATAGTTCAAAAGTACTCAATACTCATAGAAAGCAGCAAGTTTGACAACCAGGAAGATATTGGAGATACAAACTACAGTTTTACAGGTGTGATTGGAGAGATCAAGCTATAAATCCAAGTTAGATCTCATCAAGCAACATGTTACTGCTATTGTTAAGGTACCTTTCAAGTACCTTCAAGTTCTTTTCCCAAAGCTGTTATAAGGCTTAGGTTAGAGATTGTATCTTCATTGGACCACAGATCAGATAAATTATAGAATGCAACAAGTTTGTAAAGCTTCTGAATAGAAAGAAGAGAGAGGCTTAAAACAGTTGTTGCATTTGTTCATGGTTTCCTGGGTAATTACAAGATTGAAAGCTATATGGAGTTGGTTCAGAATCCCATAAAGAATTACACAAATATGTGATGCATAATGTCACGCATAATTTTACATAAAGTCCTTATCCCTTATGATCATCTCAAGAAAACTTAAGGAGAACATGGAGGCTTACTCAAAGGAGCAAGAAGAGGGCTTTTATCAAGACATATTGGACTTTGAACATCATTATTAAGGACAGTATAATGAAACATGATGAGGGAGTATATTTAGGGGCAAATTTGTGAAAGTAATTTACAGTACACTTCCATATCTAAAAAATCTATTCATATCTGAAGTCTTTTAATAATTTTTTAAAATGTTTTTATCTGTTCAATATGCAATAGTTATTCCAAATTGAGGGAACAAAAATATGAAAGATTTTATTTCCTGTCTCAAAAAAAAAAAAAAAAAAGGAACATTCTTTGTGGTGTGGTTGTAAAATCTGAGTCTGTGCTCAACAAACACTGTCTTTAGATTTAAGCTACTCATATATAGCACTTTGAATCATAGGAATTGTGTTGCATAGTGTAATAAAATCTAGTCATTCACAACCTAACCTAGACATTCACAACCTACATACACCATACCAACACAATTTTTGAAGCAGATAAAGTTGCACAATAAATACCAACAAGTATATTAATTTGCTTTATAATGGTATAAATAAAATTCTTTATTGCACAATGTTGCTTAATATGCAATGTTGTGCAATAAAGATGACATTTTCAGTTCCTCACAAGTTTTAAGGTATGCTACAACAATGAAACTAAAACAATAAAAACGAAGTTCTCTAAAGAACTTTTAAACAGATTAAATTAATTATACTTGTGAAAGCAAGGCAGCAAAGTGATGAAGTTAAATTCATTAAATGCTTACATAAACTATATTGGGCATTAAATATTTTTATAGAATATATACAAACATATCATAATACCAGTTTTTTTTTTCTTTTTCTTTAAAGCAAAATTATATTACATAAGTTATAAATATAAAATATTAAAAAAATAATATAATCGATACTTAATTTTTCTTTAACTCCAATTAAAAAAAAATTAAATAAAGTTTGATATATTAAGGTGCACGAATTAAGCTAAATAAATCATTAAAATTTTTTTGGTTAAAACTGTGATCAAAACACATATGATTCAGTCATTAATATAAAAAAAGTTTCATACATTCACATGAAAGGCTTACCATTAGTTAAACTTAATCTATACATAAATGTGTCTCTGAGATCAGTTGAATCATTTAGAGCTAACTGCACTAAGGAACCACCTTTTTTCCATTTTTGCATTAACCACATTCCTTAAAAAAATTGTTTACATAAATTATGGTTAATATATCAAGTCAAACTTCACATATTTAATCTGAACTTCACTAAAAATCATTATCTGAAAGAGGATGGCTTAAATACAGTGTTGACGAAAAGTATTGTAACTTTTTAAAAAAAACACACATTAAACAAATACACAAGAGTATTATTAAAAGTAGTTTTCATATATAAATATCTAGTACTTAGAAGGCTGTCCATGGTTTTTCAACACACATTTGATACGGTTGGCATCGACTGAACCAGTTTTTGACAAAGATCCGGGGTGATTTCAGTGCATCACACCTTCTTAATGTTGTAAATGAGTTCTTCAATGCTTTTACTGTAATATTTTCTTACTTTTCTTTTCATCACTGTCCAGAGATTTTCAGAAAAATCTATAACGCAGCACGTTTAACTATAATGACGTCATAATTTTATGTTTACATAGTGTGCTACTGTTTGGTTTTATCATTTTTGTATAAATATTTGATATATAAACATCAAATTCATTTTGAATTTTATAAAAATGTTAAACTTAGAAAAGTTGCAATACTTTTCGCCAACACTGTAGCTTTTATATTTAATATTTAAAATTTTTAATCACCTACCATAAAAAATCTCAAAAACATAAACTAAACTAGAGCAGAGTTTAAAAATTTTATTTAATATTTAGATTTGATTTAATACTTAGTTTTTACTTTTGCTATAACTAAGCTTTTGTTTCCTCCATTTTTAGAATTTTTTTTTTTCAAACATCTTCGCTTCTAACAAGGCTGTAAGCAACCACTAATTAGTGTTGGAAGTTACTGGAAGAGAAAAGATGAAGATTGTAGAGCAAAATAAAGATTGACAGATGACTTAAAAGATTGCAAATTATATGAATCAGGAAAGCAAGATGAAGGAAGCGAAATTCCAAAGAACTGATGTTCGAGGAAAAAAACTAGACGAATAAGAGTTTTTGGAGCACTTAGGAACAGTTACAGAAAAAGTATGAGACTTAATTGAATGATGAGTAACACGAGAATGAATTTTAGTAGATGACACAAGAGATGCTAACTCTATAGAGCAGTGCCCATTATAGTATTTGTAGAAAAGAGAAAGAGAAGCAACATTACAACATGTGATAATGTTTACAATGCGTTTTTGCACCTTGTCTAAAAAAGAAAGGGCATCATTAGAAGATCTGTCCCAGATATGGCAACAGTATTCCATACAAGGCCGGATTTGAGATTTATAGAGATAGAGAATAGAATCCAGAGTAAGAAAGTGTCGAGCTCTATAAAGAGATGCAATTTTAGCAGATGTTAATTTTGCAATAGATTTGATATATGGTTACCAAGAAAGATCAGAAGAATTAATCCTAGGAGATGAAGGGTAGATGACTCATTGAGTACATTACTGTTCATAAATATAGGAAGATCTAAATTATTGCGATAACAATTGGCTGAAAAAAAAAGAGTTTTATCTGAATAAAGTTCACCAGCCACTGTAAGCCCCATGCTGTAGCAGAAGTGAGATCCTTTTCAAGATCAAATGCCCCATTCAAGCAATCAGAGAGAATTGGCTTATCATGACAAGAATAAATGGTAGTATCATCAGCAAACAATGCGACCTTAGATATAAAAATATCTTGAAGATTGTTAATGTATATTAAAAAGAGTATAGGGCCAAGGATTGAACTTTGAGGAACCCTTGAAGTTACAGGATATGGAGAAAAGTGCTGTCCATCAAGGACATCTTTTATACTACGATTGGAAAGGAAGAATTCAATAATCTTAAAGATGTTTCCAGGTACACCGTAAGAAGAAAGCATTTGGAGAAGACCAGCATGCCAAACTTTACCAAACATTTTAGAAATGTCAAAAGCGATGGCCTTAACCTCTCCACCTTTATCTAATACACAATAAAACCTATTGGTTATTACTGTTAGCAAATCAGCTGGAGAACGAAAAGATCGAAATCCATATTGATGATCAGAAGGTAAGTTATTAGATTCAAGATAAGAAACTAAGTGTTTGTTAATTAAAGGCTCAAAATCCTTGCTTATAATAGGAAGAAGACTAATGAGACGGTAGTTAGACAAATCAGATTGCTCTCCAGAAATTTTAAAATAGGCATAACAGATGCTGCTTTCCATCGAGCTAGAAAACAAGACTCTGATAAGCACTTGTTGAATAGTTTTGAAAGGATAGACAACAGCTCCGGAGAACACTTCTGCAAGAGTATAACAGGTATGTCATCCGGGCCACAAGCTGTAGAAGAGTTCAAGCAGGAAATCACTTTAGATACAGAAGCTGGAGTGATACGAATGTCAAGCAATGGATCAACCTGTTTAACGGCTATATCAGGTAGAAGGCAACTAGTGGAATCAAGAGATGATATTGATGAAAAGTTCTTAGCAAACAATTCAGCTTTGTTTTTAGGTAAGTTGACAAAGTCTGAACCATAAAAAAGAGGTGGAATTACAGACCCTTATTATTGATGCTATTAAAGATTCTCTAGAAGTCACGAGAGTCTAATTTTTGTGATGAAATACGAGATTTCATGACCTGAGAATAGTGGGCTTTGGCCTTAGACAAAACCTTTTTACAATGGTTCTTAGCAGTAGTAAACAGATGTCTGTTTTCTGGAGAATTGTTTTGCTGATAGATATGGAAGTAATGGTTTTGATTGGCAATTACAGCAGCACAGGAAAATGTGAGGAAAACCATGGAGAAGAGTGAGGCTTAACCTGGAATCGTTGAGAGGGAATAAAGGATTTTATGCCAGCCTGAATCCACGAAGTTATGTAAGAAGCAAATTTGTCAATGTCAAGCAAACTTGGTGACGACAGTGGTTTTTTGTGTTTTATAGTTTTTGTTACTTTATTCATTTTTAAATTTGTTAAAGAACTTGACTCGAAACATAAATAGTACTCAGTGCACTGTTTAATAACCCAAGCATTTGCCTTATTACTATTATTAAACCCTAAGCCATAACAAAGAGCTCTAAATGTGGCCTTGGCAATGCACACCAAAAGTACAAACAGGGACACCATCCATGCACAACATGGCACTGTTAGTACTTTGATATTTTTCAGCTGCTGATGGAATCAGCCTCTCTGAGAGCTACCACAGAGTTCGGGAAACCTAACTACCAACAGGCCTCAGAGCCAAAAAACTGAGTTTTAGAGCTATACTCTCATTAGAAGATAATAGAATGAGTTGCCTAGTCATAAAAACAGAGACAAAAGCAAAACATACGCATCAAGTCAAAAAGATCCAGCATTCAACATCCTAAACTGGAAACAATGTATTAAAAATGCATCTGTGCCAGCCTAATAGATGAAGAAGGGGTGCGAGGCTGGTCAACAGATAGAACCTGTTTACCCTCAAGTCTTTGCCTAGGAGGCCTTCTACAAGACAACATTGTACTGGGTTACATGTTACCAGTAGCAGGATATACCTGACCTGACAAAAATTTTATTGAGAATGTTAACATAAACCTCAGAGTCCATAATTCCATCAATAAACTCCGTTCCAAGCCATCGATCCCCATATCATCACATAGCCTCCACTAAATTTTACTGTGCTTTGAATACAACTGAGTGTAAATGCTTCACCTTTTTTTCTCCACACTTTTTGAGCACCTTCGGATTTCACAAGATTAAATTTTGACTGGCCCGTCCACAAAACTTTCCTCCAGAATGTTACTGGCATATTTACTTTTTTTTTAGCAAATGCAAGTCTTCATTTTTTATGGATTTTTGAAAGGAATGGTTTCTTGCGTGGAACTCTTGCTTTGAATCCACATTCTTTCAATGTATTTTGAATAGTACATGAGCTCACTTGTAACTCAAAATCTTTCTCAAGGAGGCTTGACAGTTTTGGTGCTGATAAAAAGTGTTTTTTTTTGCACAATCTTGACAATTTTGTCAATCTATTCTTGATGTTGTTTTACGCTTAGCTCTGGATCTTGACCAATTTTGCTCATATCTAAACTTATTATACTAACAACTATTATATGACTTATTAACTATTTATTATATTAACTATTTATATTATATAACTATATAACTTATATAACTATATTATATAACTTAACTTAACTTATATAACTTAAATTAATTATATAACTTAATTTAACCGGTTAACTTAGGGGACATCTACAAATTACATCACAATTTTTGACCATTTTTTACCCCTCTCCCTTATCACAATATTGTAACTCTTTAGTAACAAGTTCGGTATGAGTCTACCACTAACCACCCCCCCTCCTCCTTCAAGCGTGATGTAATTTATGGAAAACCCTTAGACTCCAATTCATGTAAAATTAATTTTACTGTCTTCAATTTTGCAACAATTACAATCGCATTGATCAACTGTGTAAAATAAGCAACTGCTTTTAATGTAATGTTTTTAATTTTTTTTAAAACTCAAGAAGATAGTTGCTTTATATTTAATAAAAAAATAACAAAAAAATGTAACAAAAAAATCTACTATAGCATCTTCACTAAAGGTTTATAAATAATTATCTGATTAACAAAATGTTAATTACCCCATGTCATTAATTTGGAAGGAGAAATATCATTAATTTAGAAGGGTGTACCTACCTGTGCACAGGGTAGTGAAGGGTACACCTACCTAAATTATATAATAAGTTAAACGCAATCTAAATAATCTAATTCATACTACATAAAACCTTTTTGTTCTAATAAAACTTTGAAAACATATATTTTCAATTTATTATTATTATAAATTTATGAATAAAAAATATATATATATTTTTATATATATACAGAATTATTGTGATATGTTTTTTATTCATAAATTTGATATAAGACATTCAAATAGTAGTAAAAATTTTCTAAAACAAACAAGTGAAAAACCTCACCAGTGCTAACCAAATTACTAGTATGAAATTGAATGCCAAGATGAGGTCCTGAAAGCGAAAGAAATGTCCACAATTTTGATCGGTACTCAAAAAGTTGTGAATGAATAACAGCATTTCGAATTATAATATTCCCAAGTGAATGACCAATAAAACTAAGAATAAAATAAATTTAAATGACTCAGTAAGGTGTGAGTTTATTTGATGGTTTTTAATGGTAATTTTGTTAAAAAAGTCACTAAAAATAAATATAAGAATAAATTATTTAGTTAAAACAATCAATAGTTTTTGACAAAAGAATATGCAACAAGAACACTTTTTTGACAATGGTATACACAAACAGATTGTGTCAGACCAGTTGGAAAAGTACATTTACATAAAGTACATAATATTACAATTACTTTATAAGTATTACAATATTGTTATATATATTACTAGGTACATTTCTTGTACCTAGGGCCATATAGTTTGTTTGTATCTAGGGCCATATGTGCATAAAGAATTTGCTTGATAAGGTAAATTATTCAATTTTGATTGGTGCAGAATATTTTTCTTCTCTCTTGTTTTAAATGGGACTACCATTTTATGCGTAGAGTTATTTGTCAATTTTGCTCAGAACTATTAGTCAATTTTGTTATTTATTCAAGTGTTGCAATTAAGTAACACTAGTTAAATTTGTTGAAAACAATCTAGATTAAATAAATTTTAATCAAGTTTATGTATCTATTTTTGTTGTCAATTTATTATGGAGTTAAACCTAACTTTTAGAGAGTGGCTCTAGGTAAAATAGCTAGTGGCCCTAGGTATAATTAAAAAAAGCTTATTGAACCTAGGGCCATACCAGTTTCATCATTTTTAGACAAGTCTGGAGCCTTGAATTTGGGCACTAAAAAAATTAGGCCCTAGGTACACGATACACGATATATAATACATATATATTATATATATATTATATATATATTATATATATATATATATATATATATATATTATATATATATATATATATATATATATATATATATATATATATATATATATATATATATATATATATATATATATATATATATATATATATATATATATATATATATATATTATTTATACATATATATACAGTGGGGTGCAAAAAAAAAGCCACACTCAATTTTTTTATAAAAACAACAACAACAAATGTCTAAAACTCATTTAATGTTACTTCTATTACAGCCAAAATCGATAAAAATGTTTATAATATAATTGTATATTACATAAAATAAAAAGAAATTAGGATTTGTAAAGTATTTTTTAGGTTAAAGCTGTTTTAGTATTTAATTGACCATCCTTTCTTTCTTATTACTTCCGCACATCTAGAAGGCATACTATCTACAAGTCTTTTTAATAAGTCATTTGGCAAAGCATTCCAACCATCAAGAAGAATTTGGAACAGATCATCTTCATTTGTCGCTCTACGATCTTGCAATTTTTTATCCAAAATAGACCAAAGGTTTTCTATTGGATTTAAATCAGGAGACTGTGCTGGTCAAGACATAACTGGAATCAATTTAGATTCTAGATATCTTTTATTCAACCGTGCTGTATGTTTGGGATCATTATCCTGTTGAAAGATATAGTCACCATTAGGAAAAAGCTCTTTTATACTTGGTTCAAGCTGGTTAACTAAGATTTTGTGATACAAATGCTGGTCCATAATGCCCTTCACCCTGTAAGGTTTTCCAACTTTGTGTGCACTAAAACAACCCCAGACATTAATCTTTCTGTCATGTTTAATAGTTGCCTTGCTCGTTTGAGGATTGAATTTTTCCTCAATTAATTTCCAACAGTGAGATCGACCATTATAATACAAAACAAATGGAGAATTATTGCTCCAGATAACGTTAGCCCATTAACCACTATAATGTTAGTGGTGCATTGAGCACAAAGATTTTTCACATGTCCAATCTTTGTGCTCAATGCACCACTTTACACGCTTTTTTCGATTGATTTCACTAACAAAAGGTTTTTTAATTTGCTTTCCAGAAAAAAAAATCACTTGATGTTTTAATCCTGCGAGATATTGTCTACTTTAAGATATTAGTAAGGTTCAAATCTAGTTTTATCTCAGAACGAGTGATTTTACGATTTTTTTGACACCATTAAAAATGTAGCGATCTTCCTTTTTTGAAGTTTTCGGTTTTCTCCCAGATCCAACAGCCCTTTCAGTTTTACCAGTTTGTTTGTATTTCTTTACCAATCTACTAATAGTTGAGTTTTTTTGTTTAAAACGCTTTCCAATGCTTCTGTGAGACTCTCCTTAGTCAGCAGCTTCAATAATTTGTCCAATTTCTACATCTGTAAGATGTTTTCTAAAATATTAAATATGTCCATAATAATCTGTTTTTTAAAGATTTTATTTATATAAATATTAGTTTATATATAAACATACCTTTTCTGCCCTATATTTTTCACTGCCACATCCAATTTTTTTTTGTTTTGCATTATTATACATTTTATGCTTAAAATATTAAAAAAAAACTAGTTTAGCTTTTTTTTTTGCACCCCACTGTATATATATGTATAAATAATATATATATATGTATATATATATATATATATATATACATATATATATATATACATATATATATATATATATATATATATATATATATATATATATATATATATATATATATATATATATATATATATATATATATATATATATATATATATATATATATATATATATATATATTATTTATACATATATATATATATATATATATATATATATATATATATATATATATATATATATATATATATATATATATATATATATATATATATATATATTTTAATTTGCATTCACTCCCAACAAGGCTGCAAGCAACCACTATTAAGTTGGGAGTTACTAGGAAAAAAAAAAGAACAGAGTTATAGAGCAAGGAAACGGTTGACAGAAGACTTGAAAAGTTGAAGGTTGTATGAGTCAGGAAAACATGAAGATGGGAAAGAGTTCCAAAGGATTGAAGTGCGGGGAAAAAAACTAGATGAATAAAAGTTTTTAGAGCATGCAGGGACAGATACAGTAAACGAATGAGACTTAGCTGAATGACGAGTAAAACGAGAATGAATTTTAGTTGATGAAACTAGAGATGATAACTCCTTTGAGCAGTGACCATGATAGTATCTGTAGAAAAGAGAAAGAGATGCAACTTTACGACCATGGGAAAGAGGTTCAAGCTTAGCAGATAGTCCAGGTCCAACAACATTTACAATGCGTTTTTGGACCTTGTCAAGAAGAGAAAGTGAATTGTTAGAAGAACCAGCCCAAATATGACAACAGTATTCCATACAGGGACGAATAAGAGATTTGTAGAGGTAAAGAATGGAATCAGAAGTAAGAAAATGGCGAGCACGATAAAGAGAAGCAACCTTAGCAGAAGCTAATTTAGCAATCAATTGTATATATGGTTTCCATGAAAGGTCAGTAGTAAGCGATAATCCAAGAAGACGTCAAGAGGAGGACTCAATAAGAGGATTGCCATTCATTAATATAAGAATTAATATAAGATTATTAATATAAATCATTAATATAAGAATGTTGACCATATTACGGTAGTTGTTTGCAGTAAGCAATTGGGTTTTTTTAGAGTTGAAATTCACAAGCCACTGGGAACCCCAATCTATTACTGAAGTGAGATCAGATTCAAGATCAGCTGCTTGTTCTAGGCGATCGAAAAGAGAAGACATTTTGTCAAGACAGGAGTATAAAGTTGAGTCATCAGCAAAAAGAGCTACTTTAGATGAAAGGTTGTCAGGAAGATCGTTTATGTAGATAAGAAACAAAACAGGGCCCAGGATGGAACCTTGGGGAACCCCAGAAGTTACTGGAAATAAAGAAGAGTGTTGGCCTTCAAGGATGACTTTAATAAACCGGTTAGAAAGAAATGATTTGATAATCTCAAAAACTTTCCCAGAAATACCATATGAAGCAAGCTTAAGGAGAAGACCAGCATGCCAAACTTTGTCGAAAGCTTTAGATATGTCGAGAGCAATAGCCCTAGCCTCACCGCCTCCATCTAATGCACGATAAAATCTTTCAGTTACAGCAGTTAGCAGGTCGGCCGTAGAGCGAGAGGATCGAAAACCGTATTGATTGTCTGACAGTAGTTTATTTGACTCAAGATGAGATGCGAGGAATTTGTTGATCAAAGACTCAAAGACCTTGCTAATAACAGAAAGAAGACTGATCGGACGATAATTAGAGGGGTCAGAATTTTCTCCAGAGTTTTTGAATATTGGAACCACAGATGCCATTTTCCAACAAGCAGGAAAACAAGACTCAGTCAAACACTTGTTAAATAGTTTAGAGAGAATTGAAGAAAGTTCTGGAGAACAATTCTACAAGACTGTGACAGGAATGTTGTCTGGACCACAAGCTGTAGACGAGTTTAATTGAGATATGACTTTAGCAACAGAAGCCGGAGTGATTTGAATGTCTAACAATGGGTCAACCTGTTTGACTGGAATGGAAGGAAGAGAATGTCCATAAGATTCAAGAGTGGAATTAGAAGAAAAGTTCTTTGCAAACAGTTCTGCCTTATCCCTGGGAGAGGTAACAAGATCAGTCCCATGAATGAGAGATGGAATGTTAGATCTACCCTTGTTAACAATGCTGTTGAAGATTTTCCAAAAGTCTTTAGAGCCTAACTTCTGCGATAAGATGCGAGATTTAGTGAACTGAGAATAATGGAGTTTAGCATCAGAAAGCACCTTTTTACATCGATTTCTTGCAATAATAAATAGCCGTTTGTTCTCAAAAGAGTTGTTCTTTTGAAAAAGATGAAAAAAATGATTACGATTGGATATAGCAGCCGCACAAGAAGGAGAAAACCATGGAGTAGAATGAGGCTTGACTTGAAACCGACGAGAAGGAATAAAAGCTTCCATTCCAGCCTGAATCCAGGAGGTTACGTAGGAGGCGTATTTGTCAGCTGAGAGAGAAAAAACATCAGCCCAAGGACCATCACGAAGAAAATCACGAAAGGAATCCCAGTCAGCTTTAGGGTAGTAGTAGGTGGTGTGATGATAAGGTGAGCCCAAAAAAGAAGTACGAGAACAAAGATTTATAGAGATCATTGCATGGTCAGAACCACCTAAGGGAGAAAAGGGAGAAACTGAACATAAGCTAGGGTCAGAGACAAGACATAAGTCAAGGACTGAAGGTAAATGATTAGGGTTGTCAGGAAAACGAGTCACAAAGTTAACTATCTGAGTAAGAGATTGAGAAACGCAGAAGTTAAAGGCTTTAGTGCCAGCAGGATCAGTGGTGTTAGAGCCAAGCCATTCAGTGTGATGGGCATTAAAATCACCAACAACAACAATATTGGCAGAGGGGTAAAGAGAGAGGGCATGGTCAATTTGATCAGAGATAACATCTAAAAGAGTGTAATCATGGGAAGAAGGAGAACGATAAAGAACAAAGAGAAAGGTGATAGAGTGAAGAGGTGCTAGGCGAAAGCACATAAAGGAATGGTCAAAGGATTCGAACCTGATTTCACGACAAATAGGGGAATTAATGCGTATGTATACCCCTAAACCTAGCATGTGACTATTGGAGTCTTTACGAATCAAAGGATAGTACCCATCAACACTGACATCTGAAGAAGGAATTGCAGAATTTAAATTTGTTTCACTGAGTGCAAGCAAGTCTGGTGAATTTTGCAGGAGGTAAGACTCAACTGATGGAAAGTTGCTTCGTAGACCGCGAATATTTATAAAAGATATATTAAAATATTTAGGTGGTGGGGATGGTTTTTTAGGTTTTAAATTTTTGGTTACTTTGGTCATGATTTGGGTTTAATGAGAACTTGACTCATTCATAGATAGAGCACAGCCTCCTAATCAATGAGCTATGCAGTTGTCTCAGTCCTATTAATTAACCCTAAGCCGTGACATAGGGCTCCTTATGTGGCCTTGACAATGCACACCAAAAGCATTAACAGGGACACCATCCATGCGCAACATGGCACTGTTAATACTCTGATATTTTGCAGCTGTTGATGGAATCAGCCTCTCTGAGAGCTACCACAGAGTTCGAGAAACCTTACTACCAGCTGGCCTCAGAACCATTAAACTGAGTTTTAGAGCTGTACCCTCATATGGAGATAACAGGAAGAGTTGCATAGCCATTATCAAGGAGGCATAAGCAAAATTCTATGAGTAGAGTCAAGGAGATCCAGCATTCATCATCCTAGGCAGGAAACAATGTAACACAGGTTACATCTATGCCAGCCTAATAGATGAAGAAGGGGTTCGAGGCTGGTTAGCAGAATTTTTCTGCTTACCCCTAAAGTCTTTGCCTAGGAGGACTTCTACAAGACAGTAGCAGGATGCAGTTAACATCTGCCCAAGATGAGTATTTTTATCGAGACACCATCTCTAGCCTTTACTCAACCAAGAGCCACTAGGCAGGGGAATTTTTAGTTGGAGTTTATTTCTCCCAGTCTTTACATAAGAAGAGCACACTCTGCAAGGCAGCAGGGCTTGTGGCAGGTGGTACTGGGTTACTTGATACCAGTAGCAAGATTGATCTCGATTATCCTGACCTGACCTGGAGTAGTTAAAAGGAGTTACTTCCACATAAACATAAACATAAAGTAACTTACGGGTGAGCAAACACCGCGCCAGAGGTTCAGACAGAACACAGACATACATAAAGAACATAAAGTAACTTACGGGTGAGCGAACACCGCGCCAGAGGTTCAGACAGAACACAAACATACATATAACGTAGATTACAGGTGAGCTAATACAGTAACTAAGGCACCTCCAACTATATGGGAAAAAAAAAAAAAAAAAATTACTATAGGCATGACTGATATAAGATAGTACTGATGACAGGAAGAACACTCCCTCCAGCCTTTGCTTAGATAGCAAATCCTGCAAAGCAGCAGAACATGGAACAGGTTGCACTGGGTTACCAGTTACATGTTACATGTTACCAGTTACCAGTTACAGTTAACAGTTAACAGTTAACAGTTACATGTTACCAGTTACAGTTAACAGTTAACAGTTACATGTTACCAGTAGCAGGATGATCATGAAGACCATACTCCTGACCTGACAAAATTACTTTTATTAAAATTACTGACATCATTACTTTTAAAAATTACTGACATCATTACTTTTATTGTAATCATTACTTTTATTATTACTAAAGTGGTAAAAAATATGGAAAAGGAAACAAAACCTTTAAAAAGGTTATCACTTTGTCTTTCAGTTTCATGATGTAGAATAAAACTGGGATCAAATGTTCATTCATTCAAAAATTAGGTTGGTGCAAAAACAAACTAAATTTTTTACTTTTGTTCATTTATTTTGAAAAATAGTTAATTTAACTCGTAGTTGCCAGCATACAAAAGAAAACTTTACTCTGAATGGATATTTTAAAATCGTTCTATCTTGTTCGTTCAAGAAAAACAAGTTTTTCATACATTACATTGTCATTAAATTGAGTTTTGTAACAACATTCATTTATTAAATTTAACCTTAGTTTAGTAACCGAATGACAGTTTTAAACGTTAAACGAGTTACACCAGGTAATTACTTTTTAATTCATTTAATTGTTTGTAAGTAAAAATAAACTTGCTAAATTAAATAGAAAATTAATTATTTACTACTGCAATCGAAGCAGAAACTTTTTTTCCTATTTTTAATAAAAAAGCAAAATAAAATTAAAAATATTTTTTGGGCACCCATACAGCTCCTGTGGTAGCAATACAGGTCTGGGTTTGTCCATGACTGTATACAACTGAAGAGAAAAAGAAAAGTTATATTTATTATATATAATATATATTATATATATATAATATTACTATATATAATATATATTACTATATATAATATATATTATATATATATAATATGACTCAATCTGAACTTATCTTTAACAGTAAAGCTCAACAGTAGAATAGTAGAAGGATCAAAATATTTTTTAAGAGTTGTTAGACTCAAGATGAGAGAAGTTTGTTGTTTAAGAATACACAGACTTTGCTTTCGGTAGTATAAAAACTGAAAGGGCATAAGTTAGAGAAGACTGGGCGATCTCTAGAACCTTTAGAACTTGAAACTATCAATGCCATTTTCAAGAAGGAAGTAAAACAAGGTTCAGTTAAGCAATTAAATATTTTAGATTTTTGTAAGACTGTAACAGGAACATTATCTGAAATATCTGCAGAAGAGTTTAAAATATATGGGAAATTTTAGCAAAAGAAGCAAGAAAGATTTGGGCGTCTAACAATGAATTAACCTGTTTATTTGGGATGACAGAAAGAGTGTGGCCTTTAGTTTTAGGAGATGAGTTAGAGGAAAAGTTGTTTTAACAAATAGTTCTGAAAGTACTTTTTTAAACTGATTTCCTGCAATAGTAAAAAATATACATTCTGTAGAGAGTTGTTCTTGTGAGGATTATATAAAAAAATAATGACGCTTAGAAATAGCAAATGTACAAGAAGGAAAAAGCCATAGCATAAAACAAAGCTTAAAACCTAAAAGAAAAAATAAAAGTTTCCTGCCTGGCTGAATCCAAAGAATTAGAGGAGTAATTTTTAGCAGAAATATGATAGATATTAGCAAAACAACTATTGCAAACAAAATTACAAAATAGATCTCAGTCAGACTTTAAGTAGTAGCAGGAAGTGAGATGTAAAATCACTTGCTACTACTACACCTTTTTTTTGGATCAAATCTCACTTCTTGCTACTACTTAAAGTGAGATTTGATCCAAAAAGATAAGTTCTTGCTACTACTACATCTTTTTTTTTTGGATCAAATCTCACTTCTTGCTACTATTTAAAGTGAGATTTGATCCAAAAAGATAAGTTCAGATAAAGTCAGCGAGTCTTTGTAAAGTAGAGTTTAGTAGCCATCAACAATAAAACTAAAAAATAAAACAGCTAAATTTTAATTAGTCTCACAAAGAGCAAGTAGGTGTCTTGCTTTTAGGTTAACACAGAAAATAATAAATTTATAAATTTATGTAATTTTTAAAATTAAATTTGTTTTAACCACAATAATAAAGTTTAGATGTCATTGGTATAGATAAAAACCTGTTGAGTGAACTAAAAACATAAAAAGAAACAATTATTTTATGAACATTTATTATTCGCACCTCATTTTGGAAACTTCTATTTTTTGTTCACTTATGTAATTTTTTATTTCTTCAACTAATCGCTGAGTCATAATATCGATATCGCAAAAAGTATCATCCTAAACATTTTTTTATATATATAAATATGATATAAATTTTTTTTATAACATAAAAACACAATGAAGCATATGTTAAACAGCTCAAAATGTTTTACCTGGTTAACTTCTGACATTAAAAAATCAAAATTAGCTAATGGAGAAGCCATTTCCAGGTAACATCTCACAAGTCTCAAATCATCTCGATTTCCTAAAAGCAAAGAAAAAATATTTATTTCTCTGCAAAATGTGTTTAGAAACCTTGACAACCACTAAAATATTTTTACAATCAGTTAAAAAAATGATTACAGTTAAAAAAATTATGCATTATACTTTCTACCCTTTGAAGATCATTATCAGTAATCTAAGTAACCTTAAGTAAAGAAAAACTTTGACTAACTCACAAGTAAAGATGGGGAGAATAGGGATAGGGCTAGGATTGGGAACTGAGAATAACGTAAGGTAAAGATGGGGAGAATAGGGATAGGGCTAGGATTGGGACTTTAAAATTACAACAAATAACAATACATGATATAAAATGTCCATGTTAAAACCCTATCTTTAAAAACATTTGGATAAAATAAAATAAAAAAGTATAACTAATGACTCTGACAGCTTCCCTTAAAAATTTTAAATAATCCTATTTTTGGATGTTAACAATTATACTTTTTAGTTGTTTATAATTATTTTTTTCTGATAATTATTTTCAAATCCTTTAATGATTACATTTGCCTTACATTGTCACAAATGACGAAAAAAATATTTCCATTTTAATTACATAAAAAAAATAGCTCAATTTTGCCATAAATGCAAGAAAACCAACAAACACGCATATAAAATCTAAACACGCATATAATTTTTTGCAACGATTTCCAAAAAGTTCACTTTAACACCAACATGTAGAAAAAATGTAGAGAATTTTTCTTAATAAAATTTTTTTAGTATGCATTTTGTTAAAATAGTTTAATATATTTTGTTTCACAGTGGCAAACAGGCTCAAAATGTTTCACAGTGGCAACCAGGTTTAAAATCTTTTGTAAAAAGTTAAATAAGCTTCATAAAAGAATTAATGTTATTAAAGAAAAAAAAAACAAACTTTTGTTTGAGCCATTATCAAAATTTAGATAACTATGCTGAAGTTGTTTGAACCAATTGGTATTAGATACAAAATACCTTGATAAATGGCTATAGCAAATTTTTCAGGTTAATAAGCTAAATTACATTTATGACTTGAGTGTTAAATTTCATTTATTGATTTTTTTAATATATATACTTTTTGATGATTTTTTTAAAAGAAAAAAACTGTATTTCAATAAGTTTGAAAAAAAATAACCTTGTTAAAAAAATTTTTCTTTTAAACAATTTTACTTAGCTTTACACAAATAGAATGATGATCATAATTAAAGTCTTTTTAAATTTACAGTTTTAATAAAAAAAAATCATTCTTTCATATAAAAACATTTGATTTGGAAAAATGAGTAAATTTTTTTAGCGTGTATTGTTATGTGGACATAGATGGAAACATAGATAAACTTGAATGTTCTCAAAACAACTTGTTGCGTAAAGATAATATAAAGAATATTTGCTAACACTAAAATACCGCCAAATCTATGAATAAACAAATTCTATTGGTTCAAAAAATACGCTGAATAAGCGAATTAGAGTTCCAGAATATTCTGAAAAAACTTTCTTAAAAATGTATTGCTTTAGTTGTAAAAGTAATAAATAAATCTTTGAGATTTCTATTGTAAATTGTTTTAAGAATATATTATCAAACAAAACTGATTAAACTAACATTTAAATTAATAAAAGAAATATATTATAATCTTTGATAAATTAACATTTGTCAAACAATAATCGTTATAATTACAATGTTACTTTCTATAAAATTTTGTAACATTTTAAAGTCGGTTTTTATTATTCGAAAATAGATATTTGATATTCTAACAAAATCCGGTTAACCGCAAAACCGGATAACCGGCGAAATCACTAATTGAGTAATTTATTATATTTTCAGTGATTTATTTAAAAAGGCCACAAGCAATGAAGCAAACGTTAGAGAAAAAATAAATGTTAGAGAAAAAAACATTAGAGAAAACGTTAGAGAAAAAAATAAACGTTAGAGAAAAAATAAATAAAAATTAGAGAAAAAAACATTGTGTCTGAAATGTGAAAGAAACTGCTGTCTGAAATGTTAATAATATTGCTGTTGTGGATTTCGAGTTTACTCAGAATATGCAGATGAACCTGTTCACTGAATTGAAAAAATAGAATTCATTGTTTACTGAATTTAAAAAGACACGAATTAGGCCTAAAAGACAATAAAACCACTATGCTAAGCAAATTGAAGTCAACTGTTTCAGCATTTAATAAATAGTTAATGTTTTTTTAATTTATTGATGAATTTACCTAAAAATGTGTGAAAATTGTTATATATAAAGTGGATTTTGGATTATTTTAATATCATGAAAGATAGTGTTGATTAAGTATTAAACATAACTACTATTGTTTTGCTTTAGATATTATGGAATATGTAAATAACTATTTTTAAAATTAAATGTATTTAGTGGGTTTTTTTAATGTTTGTTGTTGTTTTTATACCTACATTTTTTACTAGGTAATCTTTAATTAAAAAACTTATGTGGATTTATTTTATTTCACAAAACCATCCCCTGAGAGTTTAGGAGAACATGAAAGTAAAAAATTTTTATAAAAATATATATGTATAAAAAAATGGTAATAAATAATTCAGAAAACACACCATCCAATCCATGCACGCAAACTACAAGATGGACATTTTCAGTTGTGGATGTAATTTTTTGGGTAAAGTATTCTTTAACATTGATTTCATTTTGAAAATGACTATAAAAAACAATCCTATAAAAACCACTAAAATTACATATAAAAAAAATGTCAATTATTAAAATTAACAATTTTTATTAGCTTACTACAATTGTGTATACTAGTTTAACTATAAATTGTGCTTACCTATAATTGTGGAATCTGAAATTCAAATTAAACTCCAAATTTTCTTTTGCTCTTTGAAACCTGCATTTTAAATTAATTATGCTGTAGCAAATTGTGATAATACACATGATGAAATACATATGATGATATAAAAGCTGAAATACGATGACAATATAAATATGATGATTTAAAAATTAGGATAATATACATACGATGATATAAAAAATAGGATAATATACATATGATGATATAAAAATTAGGATAATATACATATGAGGATATAAAAATAAGATAATATACATGATGATATAAAAATTAGGATAATATACATATGATAAAATAAAAATTAGGATAATATACATATGATGAAATAAAAATTAGGATAATATACATATGATGATATAAAAATTAGGATAATATTCATATGATGATATAAAAATTAGGATAATATACATATAAGGCCTTGTGATGAATAAAAACTGTGCGACGCATAAGCACAACGTGATTTTTGACGTCATGAAATTCTTTTTATTTGCTTTTCATATTTATCGACATTAACTGCACCAATTTACTTAATTACCGCAAAACTACTTTAAATCAATAATGTAGAAATGTTATTATTTTAAAATGTTTTGGAATGTTTCGTTTTTTAAAATGTAAAAACATTTGTTTATTATCTCGACGTTTGACACGTTTTGTTTATACTAAACGGATAAAAAACATAAGTTTTTCAAATAATTATTTTTTCTTTTTAAAAAGTCAGCGAGTAATAAACTGGAAATTTTAATATTGTACAATTAAAAACTGTGCAATAGCTAATATTTTTACTAGCGATTTTAGATAATATTTATTTATTTATTTTTATTTATTTTCATAAAGCGGTTGATAAGCACAACCACTCGTATTATTAAAAAACTTTAACGAACGTTTTGAATAGATTTTTAATGTTTACAAGGAATTTTATTTTTGGTAAAATAAAATAAAATGTTAGAATAAAAATCTTTTAGGTATAAAAGAAATATTTCAGCAAAAAAATTATTCTTAAAAATTATTATTAAAAATTATTCGAAAAACTATTATCGTTCTATTTTTCAGCAGCTGTTCTTGAGCACGCTTCGTTGAGTTTCGGTAACTTTTAACAAAAAAGCGATTGTTATTATTTAAGTAATTTTTTTTGAGTCACTTTTTACAAAAATTTTAATAACTGTACTTTTTTATTGAAGTACAATACAAGTAGAATACGTTTTAATATTAATCCTTTTATTTTTTTTATTTGCGCTTACCAATTTTAAAATGTTTCCTCGAAATTACTCTTAAATACTTTAAATTCGTCTAACAGTTAATAAATATTTTTAAAACCTAACAAACCCCCGTAAAATAATTATTTAAGTTAAAAATCTAAATCTAAAGGAAAGTATTTTTGTTTAATTTTATCGACAACTTTGCTATTGCTGATTAATTTTATTAAAATGCTAGCTTAAAAAGATTTAAACTTTTTTTTAATATAAATTTTTTCTACTTGTAAATAATGAGCATATTTATTTTTTTTGAAATTCAAACTTTTATATCAACTGCATGCGTTTAAAATACTTTATTAAATGTTAAAATAATCGTAAATTACTTCATTAAAATTCCGCTCAAAAATATCTTTAAATATACTCAAACAAAAATTTTTTTGCTCAACGCAAATAGCCCTAGCTACACGCAAAATCGCTCTTGGACGACGTAAAATTCACATCGCCCGAGGCTTTATAGCAAGGCCTGACATATGATGATACAAAAATTAGGATAATATCAGGATAACATACAAGATTATATAAAATTAGGATAAAATTAGGATAACATACATGATTATATAAAAGCTACCACTCTTATTTTTAAATAATAAAAGCTTTGTTCTAAATTTGTTTCAAGAAAAAAAAAAAATTAGTGTAAAAAAAAGTTTTGATCTACTTTAACCAGAATTTTTTTAAACTTAATGTTAATCTTTCAGAAAACTTAATGTTAATCTTTCAGAAAACTTAATGTTAATCAATAACAAAGATAATCAGCAACAAAGATCATTCAGAAAACTCAGTGAGAAAATCTCGGTAAAAAAGAAGAATATTACCTAGATGAATTTTCTTGTGTTACTACTGCATATGGAGATTGAAGCGACATTCTATACGAATTTCTCTTACTCGAACTCTTGATAGCAGGGAAGCAACTCCATAGTTTGGGTTTTCCAAGATCAGAAGGAGATGGTAAATTGATAACTTTATTATTGTTTTCCAGACTTCTATCAATGGAAACACTAGCTTTATTTTCAGCCAGGTCCAAACCTTCAAGAAATAATGTCTCTTTAGTTATAGGCGTTTCTTTAAATTTAACACCATTCAACGGGGTATAAAAAACAGATCTTCTTCCGGGTGCTGAAGAATGAGCATATCTTTTGCCAGAAGTAAATGACCTGCGTAAATGGGGTTTTAAATCTTGCTCATGAGCAGGTTGAAATGTCTTTTTAATGTCAGGTAAAGATAATAAACTTTGATTCAATGTTTTTAGTTCATCTACTTTTGTACATAAAGGTATAAAGTCAGTAGCAGAACTAAAATCGCAATCATTGTACAAAATACTTAACAATTCCTTAGAAGATAAAACTTGATTAGAGCTTAAAGAAACACATTTTTCAACGTTCCACTGTGATGAGTACTCAGGTCCTGTTAAGTCTGTTTCTTTCATAGGTTTTTTTAAATCAGAAGGAGAAAACTGCCAATGATCCATCATATCATATTTACCATTATTAGTTGTGTTACTTCTTCTAAAGGATGAGTCAACAGTATCTACATCTTTATTTTTATCAAACTGCATATGCTTTAAACTGCTTTTGTGATTTATTTGATTTTCATTTGAATTGCATAGTTTTGTAATAAAATCTGTTGTGCCTAAAGAAAAATTAGAATTAAATAATATAAAACATTTAGAATTGAGGGGAATGGTTCTAAACTCTGGATATATTTATTGCTATTTTTCAATTTTATAATTTTAAGTATTTTTTTAAAAGTGTTTTTACTGCTTATAAAATTCTTTGATTATTAAATTTAAGATCAAGTAAATCTCAATGTAAAGGTGACATATAAAGTACAACAATACTTAATATAATCAATGGTCTACATTTGTTTCACAGAAAATAAAAAAAGCAACCAAACCGATACCACATAGATATTATAATAGATAAAAACTTTCTTCGTTCAGAAAAGATTTCTATAGCTGATAGCTGACACAATTATTTTGGCTAAATCGAAAGATAGAAAATGCATTCTATAATATAGATATGATTATAAATGACTGAAAAATACTTTAATGAAACAATGGGCGATAAAGACGGAACATGAAACATATGGTCCACAGCTTGATAAAATTAGAAAAGATATAGCTTTTCTGAAATATTGGCTTTCAAATGTAAATAAATATGATTTTGAAAATTACGAATTTTCTTGATGTCACATTTCTTAATACAAACAATAAGAAATAGGGAATGAATTAAAAAAAATGTGAATGAAATTAAAAAAAAATGAAAATATTGTAATATCTTGGCAAAAAGATAAAATCATATGTATTTCTATGTCAAAGGATTTTAAAGTGAGCTTCATGACAATGATTTTTTTATAATAAGTGTACATTTTTAAACATTGCATTAGTGTTCCACTAAGCAATATATTGAATCCTAACAATGACTTGGTCTTCTACTCCCAGTTTTTTGAAGCTAAATAATTTAGTTTTATAATTGCAATCATGTTAATGATATTATTGAAAAGGTGACAATTATTTTTTCAGATTATGAATTTGAAATAAAGGATGCTATCAAGTAAAAGAAACTGAATTTTTATTTAGTGTAACAAAAGTTTCTCTGCAGCAAATTACTGCTTTTTTATGTTTATTGTGTTTTTAAAGTTTATTCACCTCCCCAAGACCGAGAAGGCCACTACAGATAAGGAGGCTACTTAAAATATTAAATTTTTTTTTTAGATATCTTATCAAGAATTGTTCTAAGAATCTATTTGTGTATTGAAACATATTGAATTTTAGACAATTGATCTAATGATGCATAAAATTGAATGCAAAAAAAATAATAATAATAGTACATAAAATAGATTTTTTTTTTTTGCATAAATCAAAAGAATTGAACAATCGAACTAGTCAGTAAAACTGAAAATATTTTAATAACACTTTTGTCCTAGAAATGAAATAAAATATAGTATTTCAGTGGCATTAAGAAAGCAACATTTGTCTTTTTGTCAACAAAGTTGATTTGAAAAATCAAGAAAAATACCATTATATCCAAAAAGAAACAGGAATTCCTTTTACTACAGTGTCACCAATTGTTAACAAACATGGTCTGATTGGAACTGTTGCTAGTGTGGCTAGAAGAGGACAAAAATACACCAGTGGAATTGATAGCATTATCATTGTTAATGTGAAGAAAAATAGATTTGATTCGGCAGCTAAACTAGCTTTAAAAGTTCAAGAAGACAACAATATGACAGTGACTCCTCAAACAATAAGAGATTTATTCATTAGATTTTATATTTATTAGATTTATTGTATTTATATTTTAGATTTATTAGATTTATATAGATTTTAGTTAGATTTTGATTTATTATATTGATTTATTTATTAGGGAACAATTAATTCAGAAATATTATAACAACAAAATTTAGCCAACTCAAATTGTCTAGCTGACAAAAGGGCAAAAGAGGCCCCAATCAATACTAATTTCCGTGAAATTTGATCAACTTGACATTATTTTTGAACTGTAAAATTTTTTTTTTTGCCAAACCTTTTTTATTAAGTTAAATTTTGATTGTACAAAAGAAACTATTTTTTTACAAACTTTGTTTAATATTTTGTTATTGATATTCTAATGTATACTTAAGATGCAATTTTTGTTTAAATTTTACCTGTTTAGTACAAATATTTTGGTTATTAACATGAAAAATGTGATTTATAACTTGAAATAAAATCATTTTACCTTCTATTCTAATATCCATGTCAACAAAATCACCATCAACAACACTTTCATCAACAGTGATGGAAATTTGTTTTTGCTCTATATGGTTATACAAAAAATTAAATTAACGAAGAATTAAAAATCAAAATATTGGAAAATGAAGTGATTTAAAATCAAACCTGATTCATTCTTTTTCCCTGGCATATACTTGTCTTCAAAAATAATAGGTAAAGTAGAGCCATCTGCATCTAAGCTTGAGCAATGTAATTTTAAAGGAGGTATGAGCTGATAATACAAAGAGTTTCTCACTGCATTTGCCATTCGATTATGCTGAGAAGTACTTAGTTCATGAGATACACATAATGATTCCCATGGATGCTCTTCTGTAAACACAGCCTGTTTAATGTGCATAATACGCTCTTTGTGATGTTCTTCAGCAAGTTTTTTAACTAAGGTTTCATTAAAACTGAACTGCTCAAGAAACTGCTGCCACAGCATATCTAATTCGGTGCTTAATAAATACAGATCATCACCAACACGCAAGTAGTTTTCTTCAGCAGTGCACAACAAAGAAAATTCATTATTCAACACCTCAAGTTTGTTATAAATATCAATTTTGCTTAGCCCTACTTTGGAATATTCTGGCAAAAGTGATATGCACCAATGATAATATAAAAGTAGCTGTTCGTATAGCTTAAGGAGTTTTAAACAAACATTGCGGTGAAAAATAATTGCACTATTCTTTTGTTGATTATCAAGTTTTTGGGTTGGTATCAAAATAGATCCTTTTCCAAACAAGCTACTATAACATAGTTGCCTTATGTTACCTGATTTACCACTCCATACAGGATGAAGTGATTTTAATGCCGCTAACCATGGCTGTCGTATAGCTGTGGTACATGAGTGAACTGTGAAAGTTAAAGCACCAAAATGAAAATAATCAAATAAAACAGGTCTATGAGCATGATAAGACTGGTTTAAACTGAGATGCATTGTAAGTGTCTTTGAACTTGCATATTCTAAAGATTTTGGAGTTGCAGGGCTAAAAAAAAACACTTATATATATATATATATATATATATATATTTATATGTATATATTTATATATATATATATATATATATATATATATATATATATATATAAATATATATATATATATATATATATATATATATTTATATATATATATTTATATATATATATATATATATATATATATATATTTATATATATATATATATTTATATATATATATATATATATATAAATATATATATAAATATATATATATATGTATATATATATATATATATATATATATATATATATATATATATATATATATATATATATATATATATATATATATATATATATATATATATATATATATATATATATATATATATATATAGGCTTGGCCAGGAAGGCGTGCGATTTTATGCTTTTATATGACCACGCAAATACTATTTGATCTTATAAACTTGACCAAGGCTTTTAATTTGTTTTGAAAATTTGTATATATTTAAAAACGCGCTAAAAAATTGTCTTAATTATGAAAGAACTTTAAATAAAGACTAAAGCTTAAATAACGGAAACAAAATTAAAACTTAACTAAAATAAACAATAAACCATAACGATAAGATTATTTAAATTACAATTGGAATAAATAATTTTGAATTGTTTATCATTACTAGTGTTTTTTAATATATAGTATTATACAAAACCCTTATGAGTAAAGTAAAAATTTAATTTTAACCATTGTTTAATAAATACGCATATTAAAAAAAATTAAATAATATATTTTTAACATTTTTTAGTAGTAACATAAACAATAGAAAAATTAATTAAATTGTTTCTTTTGAAAGAAACGCATTGACTTTGAAAAGTTAAAAAATTGTGGCTACTGCTGTAGCCACAATTTTTCTGCAACCACCAGAATCCACACCGAATGCTAATTACAATATTTACTAAATTTAAATTTGTTGATAAAATATATTTTAAAATTAATATAGGCATAAAAAACTACTCTTTATCTAACTTAGTTTTTAAAATGAAAAATCTAAAATAAAATAATAAATGAAATAAAGAAGAGGAAGCAGAACTGCTTCAAAACCTCTAATTATGTTTAGTTCTTCAGGGGTTTTTATTTCTTTTTTAAGTAAGTATATTAAGTATAAAAGAGAGGGAAAAAATTATAATCGTTAGTATTGCGAGTTTTTAAAAATGGCATCTAAAACAAAAAAAAATAAAACTATATAATAAACCTATATCTAAGAAAACAAAAACTTTTCTCTCGTGGAGGAAAGAAGAAATAATTGGATACACTGAAAAAAATGATTTAGTTAATAAAATCTAGTATAAGGTTTGTGCAAGGAACAAAATAGCTATTTTAAGAGAATCTTCAGTTAATGGAGCAGCAATTGATTCTTTGAAGACGTTTACAGAGGGAACGAATGTGGTAACAAAACATCAGGTAAAAATTATAATCATTAACTTATTTTGTTCAATTCAGGAAATACTTTATACAAACTTTTAATTATAATATTTGATTGAATGTTTATTCTGAGGTAAATAGTTTCATTTTGTTTATGTGTAATTATTCCTCATCTTATAGAATCTCAAATATTTGTCATCTTAAAGGGCATATTCACAAATAAACGGTACTAATCGATAATGAAACCCCTACTGAAGGAACTGGAAATGGCCGTCTTATTATCACTGATATTCCAAACTCGTTTACTGCTGAGCAAAACACCTGTGAAGCGTATTTTAAGATGATCACAACAACGTATGAAATGGCTTTAAAACCAAATATGTCACATAACAACTTTGAGATTAAATGCCAAATCCTAGACTTAATGGTGTTTGTTTTGTTGAAGAAAAAACCAACAACAAAGCAGGTTATTGAATTTCATGGTTTAATTTCATAATTACTAATAGAATTGACAAAAATCATATTGAATTTTCATTTTTTTTTTTTTTTTGTTAATTTTTTATAGCATAAATATTTTTCACTTTTAAATTTCAGCACATACTTTCATCTCATGCATAGCAGATGCCGTTAAAGATAAAGTTGCAAAAATTGTCAACGAAAAAATTTTTTTCTATATTTTTTCTGATCGATCACAAGCAAGAAAAACTAAAGACAAGAAAGAGTTGCTTCTTGTGCGCATTGTGTGAGAAGGGACCCCTGTCTATTTTGTTGTATCTCTACTAGAGATGAATAATATTTTTATTTGTGGAGGTACAGACGCTAATGCTATTAAAAAGGCTATTGATAGCATTTTCAATAAAACGGGGAATATTCCTTTAACTGATGAAGCCTACAAAAACAAAGTTGTCAGCGCCAATTTGGGCATTTATAATGGAGTGTTAACTCAAATGAAAAGCAATAGACCCTGGCTCACAAAGATTCACTGCGTTAACCACTGATTGGAATTGGCAATAAAAAGTGCTGTAAAAGAAATTGTCGAGTATAAAGAGTGTGAACGCATTTTTTTAACTTTATTTAATTTACTTTGCAATTCCGGAAAATTAAAAACCAAATATAAAAAAGCCGCGGAGGCATTAAACATTACCCAATATACATTGCCCAAAATATCGGGAATGCGCTTCATCAGCCATAGGAAACGTGGATTTACCAAATCATTGCATAACTGGCCTTCCCTTATTGTGGGTTTGGAAAACGCTCTTGCGAATCGCGGTATTAATGCCAAAATGGGCGCTAAACTTTCTGGGATATCTAAGCATCTTCATGACCACAGACTATTATGTATGGTTTGTAGTTATTTAGACATTTTAGAGAAGTTGAACCCATTATCGTTGGCATTTGAAAAAAATACGTTGATGGTACATGAATTTAAACCAGCATTGAATTTAACCAAGGCTAATTTAGTTAATTCAAGAAATGAAGAAATCGATGATATTATTGATTCGTATTTAAAGTTTAGAATTGTTAAAAAAGATGGTTTAACCAATCTTGTTTCTTCTTACTTTAAAAGTGGTCAGGAGTTGAAAAAATCAAATCCAGAGTTTGTAGAAATTGAGCTTGAAAATTGCTAACCTTAACGTTGAAATTATTAGTTCTGGTGTATGCGTAAGAAGAACTGCAATCGACGTCATTTTACCATTGATAGATATAAGATTTAGCTCTTTCTTAAACACTTCGAAGCAATCGATTGGTTAGACTCACAACTTTGGACTGAAGATAATATGTATGGTGATGTCAGCATATCTTTACTGCTTAGCAAATTCAAAATTCCTTTAGAAGCCGCAAAATTGGACTTTAAACTAGTTAGTTCCAAATGGAAAGCGGCTAAAATAAAAATAAACACAGATTATAATGGAGTCAAAGATTCACAACTATGGCAGAAAATGTTTTCTGTCATAAAATAGAGTACCCAAACCTACTTCTTTTAGTTGAACTTGTTATGCTCATATCTTGCTCTAACTCGTCAGTGGAATGCGTTTTTAGTATCTTGACTATACTGCTAACTGATCTCTGTTTAAAGATGAATCACTAGACTATGGAAAACTCATTATTAATTGCCGGGAATGACCCAAATTTTACCATTCATGAACGAGACGAGATTTTGAATAGTGCTGTCCATATCAACCTAAGTAAGCGAAGAGTTTTTTGGCCTTGGATCAATAAAGGTAGCTGATGCTAGAATTGAAACAAACGACAGTAGCAACGACAGCAGCAGCAATGGCTGTTTTTCTTCAAATTTGGAATCGGACTATTAAACATTTTATATTTGTATTTCTTTTTACTTACATTCTGGCAAAAAAAAAAATCTTTTACAGTATATACCTTTGATCGATCTTAAATAATAATAATTAAATACATAATCGTTGTTAAAAGTTGTTGTTTGCATTGTTGAAATAATTTTTTTTATTTAAAGACATTTATAATAAAAAAATAAAAATTTAAATAACTATTAAAAAATATGTGATATTCATTAACTCTTTATATATATAATCGTTAATAGTGATTTCTTTATTTAAAAGCGTTTATTTTTTTAAATGCATTTCAATTATATAAAAACATAATTAGAGATCTAAGTTTTAATTCAAACAGCTTTCAAAAAAGTTTTTTTTTTTCTCAACAAAACTTTTCTTCTTTTCGAATTTGTTAATTTTAATAATTCTTATATAAAGTTAATTAATTGTTTTTTTACATCGTGCTAATAAAATTAAAATTATTTTTTTTTCTTTTAATTATATTTATTACAGAAAAAAAAATTAAATAACTAATAATACAAATAAAAATTAATACAACTTTTATTGACAATTTAAATGAAATCATTAGTTACTTCATTCAAAATCATTTTGCTTATATAAAAACGTTAGTAAAGATAACGTGTCGAAGTTATTTATTTTTTATCGTATTTAAAAACCATTTAATTCAGCGCATTTTTTAAATGTTAGAAAACGTGGTCAAATCATCAAAACAAAGCGTTGTCATATAAAGGCTTAAAATCGCATGCCTACCTGGCCAAGCCTATATATATATATATATATATATATATATATATATATATATATATATATATATATATATATATATATATATATATATATATATATATATATGTATATTAAATTAGTCCAGTTAACATTTAACATAAGGGAAAAATTGCCAAAAACCAAAAACGCTTTTCTATAAAGGTTTTTCTAAACTGAGTGGAAAAAAAAAATTTTTTTAGTTTATCTTAAAACCTTTAATAATGAATTTTACTTTTATATTATTTTAATAAAAAATATTTTATAATTGTTAAAGTTTAAAACTTAAAAAGATCATATAGTATTTCCATTTACATTTGAAACATCATGTTATATCATATAAAATAGTAGTGGTAGTGCAGTCTTCCATCTAAATTTACTGCCAGCGCACAAAAAAGCGTTCGCTGGACAGTAATTATTTTTTTGGCGCGCGCGATTTTAAAAAATATCTGTTTTTTGTACCTCTTTAATTAGAATTTGATTAAGAAAAAAGATTTGTTGCAATTTAAAAACATGCTTAGAATTTTTTGGCGAGCGCTTAAAAAAGCACCAGCCATAGTATTGGCAGGCGTGTGGGCAAGCGCAAAACTGCAAGAATGCGAAAACGCTCGTCAAATGGAGAAAATTGTTAGTGATAGTGGTAGTAGTAGTAGAAGTAGTAGTAGTAGTAGTAGTAGTAGTAGTAGTAGTAGTAGTAGTAGTAGTAGTAGTAGTAGTAGTAGTAGTAGTAGTAGTAGTGGTAATAGTAGTAGTGGTAATAGTAGTAGTTGAGATGGCAGGTACAAACTATTATAATCTGATTTTTTAAAAGCTTTTTGACTGTCTAGAACAAACAATTTTTGATAGAGATTTAGAAGTTTTGACACATTAGATGTATCACCAATAAAATATCATAGGATTTCACAACATGCTAAATTTATTTGGAAAAAAGAAAATAATGCAAGCTAATGATGTTATGTCAAAAAAAATCTGTTATTCTAGACATTTATGTAACTAACTTGAAATGTGGTTATACTGAAGAACTTAATTGAGCATCAGAAAAAAAGATGATTTAATTAAGCTGCTACTTTTAAAACAATGAGTTGAAATATTTAATAAATCAGTCAACCATAACTTAAGAAAGTCAACCATAACTTAAGAAAGGAAACTTAAATTTGAAAAATGAATATAAGTACTTCTAGAAAAAACTGTTAAAATTAATTTAGATATAATTGATAAGGTGAAATGCTTTGAACGCAAAGGTCAGTTTAATTGGCAATTGCCAATTATAAAGAAATTTTGTTAGTGTATCCAAAAATTAAAATGTACTAAAGTGGTTACTTCATTGCAAAGGAATTTGTTAATTTCAAACTAGATCAGCCTCAACCTAAAATAGGACATTCCAAAATGCTCAGTTGAAACCAAAATACACCATTTTGGTTTCAACTGTAATACATCTATAATGGTTGAAAAGGAACCCACTCTGTATGTTTCTGTACAACACACAAAATACTAAATGTTATGCTTTGTGCAGTTAAACAGGAGAATTAATATGCAAAAACTGGTACAAATATTGTATCTGCAAATATGATGTGCTTAACTGGATTAGGTTGGTATCAAAAATTGATGAAGAATATGAAGACAACCTTGTAAAATTCAAGCATCTTCATTTACCTAAAATTTTTTTACACTGGCCAAATAGAGACAATTGCTGTTGGGTTTTCTGAACCTTGTATCACAATTACAACAAACTTGTACTTATTTTTTTGACTGTTAAATATTTTATCAATATATAATTTATCAATATATAATTTTTATCAATATAACTTTTACGAATAGTGAACTTTTCATTTTAACTATTATAATTTATTTTTTTTACAATGAAAATCTCCAAAATAAGTAATTTTTAACATCTGAATGCGAATGTATTTCTTGATTCAAATTTGTCCTTAAAGAACTTACCTCCTATTTTTGCACCAAAACACTTCTTAAAATATGTAATTTGATAAAAGAAAAAGAAAAATATACAACAAGATAATGCCACCAGGTTATCAGGCTTGCATTCTATCTTAATGATCTTTTTTAAAGCAGACTATAGGTGAAGTACGAACCCTGTTTTGATTTAGTTCCATTTGTTTTATAGAAAATAAATAACATATACTGATTCCTCAGATTTTTATAGTAAACAAATGACTCATACTCAAAACTATAATGGTGCTAATTTTTAGTTTGATCACAATTATAGTCACAAAAAAAAAAAAAAAAAAAAAAAAATTATTACTTTAATCACCTCTATAATAGGTGATTAAAGTAATGATATCTAAAAAACCTATTTGATATCAATGCTAAAGTATACAGAAAATCTAAGATGATGAGTTTCATGCTTGCCCCACTTTCTCACGGAACACCCCACATGGTTTAAAACACTTTTGTGCATAAGTACACCTAAATAATACACTTAGTACACCTAAATAATACACAAATAAAATAACTGTTAAAACATGATATTAAATAAGTAAATTTTGATGATATAAAATTTGTTTTGTACAAAACACTAAACAAAACATTAACATATTATTTTCAGAACTTATTGAATTTTTTAACACAATTTTGTAAATGATAAAATATCTTATAAAATTTTTATAAAACTTACTGTTTTCTGGTGCATTCTGCAAAGTATAATTCAAATGTTAAATCTATCTTTTTTAGAAGTTGTGAATCCATCTAAAAAGTTGCACTTAACATGTTTTAAATAAACTTCAAGAAAATTACTTTATACTACATTTTTACAATCAATAAAGTTAAAAAGTTTTTATGCTAAGTTATTTATATACATATAATTATGAATGCGTGTTAAAATAACATCACTGATGTCATACTGAAATAGCCTGCTGCCTATCTTATAGCGTGCTGCCGCAAAGGAGTGCACTATAGTAGATATATATACATATATACATACATATATATATATATATATAATATATATATATATATATATATATATATATATATATATATATATATATATACATATATATACATATATATATATATACATATATATATATATATATATATGTATATATATATACATATATATATATATACATATATATATACGCGTAGGCAGGAGTAAATAAGTGCACAAGCGGTGAAATGCTTGTCTAAAATGGACATAGCAAGTGATACGCTTATATTGCATGATCAGATTGCTAGCATCACCTAACACGTCAATAACATTATTTTGTAAACTACAATCCATAGGCCCTTCACTTTATAAAACAAAACTTTTGAAAAAAAAGTTGATACTAAAAATAAAGCAATTTTTTCTATTAGCAAGTATGGAGTAACTTGATTCAGCATTTGCTGGTGGCCCTAAAACTGTATAATATTATTCCATTGTGTCATAAACAATTCTCAACATCATTTCTTTAAATATTTACAATTAATTTTAAAGATTTATGTAAATATAACAGGAGTTCAACTTAGATATGAAGTTCAATTTAGATATGAGGAGTTCAATTTAGATATGAAGCTATTATTTATGGACGCTTAAGAATGACATGTAATATGATAAATTATCTGCATTTCTGAAATGTGATTTGGGTTATAATTATTAATTTGTTTGTCTATCAAGTAAAAATCTGCTTTTTCTATAAGTTTTATACTTTTTACTTTTTAATGATACTTATAGTTTATGAGTGGAGTACTTATAGTTTATGAGTGGAGTACTTTGATGCAAATTTATAACTTTACTTTAAATGTCTCACAAGTTTAACCTTTTTTATTTAGGTAATGAATAAATTTAGTTTTGTAGGAATAAATTGATTCTACAAATTAAATCAATTGCCTAAAATAAAACTGTATTAAAAATTTTTTTACAAAGCAAAAACTAAATATGTATCATGGTGCTCCACTTTCTCCTATTATTTTGTTTCACGTTTCTTCCTATTTTCATAAATAAAAGGATCACTATTCTTTTGGTTTTTTTTCTAACTTAAAAAGTTCAACTCAACGCAAGAGAGCAAATAATTAAAATAAAAGGCTTTTGTAATTAAAACTTGAATGAATAAGCTTGATAAATAGTTTTTGTGTTATGTAATTCAAGTTAAAACAAACAAATTTTTATAATGGTTAATAAGAAAAATTTAAGTTATTAAATATAATGTATTTTATATACTAAGTTAAAAATGCAATTGTAAAAATATTACTTATTAAAAAGTTCTTTTGTTTTAAGAATGTTTGCAAAGACTAAATTTTATACTTTATTTTAAAAAGTTTTAAATTAAAAACATAAAAATAAAAACTTAAATAAGCTTTTTAAAAACTATTAAAGTTTTTTTGTTACTGTTTTTTTTTTTTTATTATTATTATTTTTTTTACAGTTTTTTAATTAAGTTTTTAATGAAATTCTTATATGATCATTTAAACTTGTCAAGTTTATTTAAAAGTAATAATGCCGTAACATTAAAAACTTTTTTACCTTAAAGACAATCACAAGAGCATAATAATAAATTAACTTTTTTTTCTTATTTTTTTAAAACAATTATTGCATAATTACATAATACTTACAAAAATTATATTTTAAACGAGCTAGAAGTTTTTTGACTATTTTGTTCATAACATGCATAATAACATCAGTTATTATGTTATCTGTTTTTGAAACTAAATTTTTGTGTTTTACTTTATACTACTTAAGCAGTGCTCCAAAAAAGAAAAAAATGTAACAGGATGGTTTTCAGTATTTTCAAAATACCATCTTTTCATTGCTATATATCTTTTCACTGCTATATATTTTATAATTAAAAAAGGTAGCAAACTGTCATACCACCTGCCATAATCATATTGTCTTACTTTGAGTACTGCTATTAAGAATTTAGCAGCGACTATTGTTTGACGAAAAAATAGCAGAAAAACAATTTAAAAAATACTAAGTACGCCTCCTAGATACTTAACCCTTCACTACAAGTAAGTAGGTGAGAGAAAATTTTTTTAAAAGCAATTTGTTGAAAAATAAGCATAATATTTAGTCTTACTCAGCATTTTACACATGTTTTTTAAAAAAAAAAACACTGCATTTGTGAAGTCATTGCATAAATTTTTTTTTTATGTATAGTAAAGTTTCGTATACCTTATTCTTATTATTACCCTAATATAATCTTTTAAGCAGATCTTGTTGTAAAATATTTTTTTAAATTAAAGCTGGTGGTATTTATGTAAAACATAAATTATATTAAAAATATCATTTGCTTATAAAAAAAAAATGCATTACTTTCTATACTGTATAGTACAAGCCTTCCCAGGAAAGGCGTGCGGTTTTTCCTCTTGTACAACCACGAAAACATTTTTCAAGTTAGAGAACGTGATCACGGTCATTTGGGCAAGTTTTATTATATGCGTTGCTGAAAAATTGTTTTAAATTTAATAACTACATAAGAAATTAAACTTAAATAGAAAACAATAATAATAGTTTAAATAACTTGTGTGTTGTTTTTATTTTTGTTTTTTTTTAGTGGTTATTATTATCGGCAAAAAAATTTAGTAAGTCAAAGCAAAAAAAGAAAAAAAAAAAAAAGTTTTAGGAGTTAAAAAGGATAACTTTCCCATATTTTAAGTGTTTTTTCTTTTAAAGAGGAAAGAGAAAATATATATCGTCATCTGTTTGTAAAATATATTTGTATAATTATAATGTAACAAGTTTATATCAAGAGTTAAATTATACGATCGCAATTTGCAAACTCTGGTAAAATATTATGTTTTTAAAATTTTAGTTCATGCAAAGCTGTGTACTTTGTTTATAAGGAGCAAATTATTAAAAGTTTGCTAGCCAGAAAGTTACAAAAAACAAAATAAAACAATAAACTTATGACTACAAAAGTAATAACACTTTAGTCACTAACTGCATTATCAAAGTAACAAAACTATAAAAGTGTTATTACATTTATAAAGCACTTATTACTTTTAAAGTTCATTCTTTGTTCAAACAACATTATTAGTTCCAAACATTTATTATAGTAGAAAAGCATCTAGAAAAAATAAAGCGAATATTCAAATATTAAAAAATTTCAGGAACTTTCACAGATCACTTAAACAAGTTATAAAAAAGTACTTTATAAAAAGTATAGCATTATGAAAAATGTTATGTAAAAACGCGCGGTAATTTTAAAATCAGCCAATAAAAAATTTTTAATGGTTAATTTTAAAATTAACGCGCGTTTTTACGGTCCATTAGTGATGTTTTTCAAAATGCTAAACTTTTAATACGATACGTTTTTATAAAATTGTTTGTCACGTTTTTATAAGTTATTTAAGTTTTAATATTATTTGAACATCCACTTTATTCTTCTAGATATTTTTCTACTTCAATTAAAATTTGGGAATACTAATGTTGCTTGAACAAAAAATGAATTTTAAAAGTTATAACTGCATTATAAAAGTAATAACACTATTATAGTGTTATTACTTTTGTAATGCAGTTAGTGATTAGAGTGTTATTACTTTTGTAATCGTAAGTTTATTGTTTTATTTTTTCGCTAACAAATTTAATTTGATTCTTCCCTTAAAAACAAGAAACACGGTTTTGTATAAACTAAAATTTTAAATACTAGATATTTTTCCAGATTTTGCGTTTCGCATTTGCTTAATTCAACCCTTGTTGTTACATTAAAATTATACAAATAAATTTTATAAACACATTGCAATTTGTATTTTTGCTATCCTCTTAAAAAAAAAAATAAGAAAAGGAAAATCATTCTTTTTATTGTAGACTTTAAACTGTTTTTTTTTGCTTTGCCTTATCTAATTTTGTTGCTGAATGTAACAACCACTCTAAAGAAACAAAAATAAAAACAGTACACAAATTATTTAAAATATTAATTTATTTTTATTTTTTTCTATTTCAATCTCTTTTTATTTCGTTAGTTTTGTTTTTTTTGTTTTTGAAACTTTTTCAGCATTATTATAAAACTTGCAAACGGCTGTGTTCAAGTTGTCTAAAATAATATACTTGTGTGTGGTCAACAAGACGAAAAACCGCACGCCTTTCCTGGGAAGGCTTGTAGTATGTTCTATACTATAAAGTACATACAGTGTTTTACACATACAGTGTAAAACAAGTTGCTTTTCATAAAAATAAAAAATTCTTACTTTTTTAAACACAAACACTAAAATTAGATTCTATATTAATGAATTATTCAGTATAAAACAAAGACTTATCATGTTTAACAAATAACATTAAAGCAGCAAGTAATAAAATTGGCTTGCTTTATCCTATTAAAATTTCTTTATTGATCATACTTTAGAGTTCCTAATTTTTTGACAAAATTTGTGAAATTTATACTGAATTTACTTTATCATTAGTAGTAGTAATACAGGAACAATAAGGTTTAGTTAAAATTTAAACATACTGCTGATATATAAAAATGGAATAAAACCTTTAAATAGATCAAGTAAACCTAATTACAAAGAAGAATGATATTTTTAAAGAATTCTTTGAGAAAGATAAAGAGTTACTTTAGAAGGAAAACTATTAATATGAATAATTTTTTTCAATTACATGACACAACAAATAGAGTATAAGATAACCTTACTCTTAACAGCTTCGGAAGCACATGTGTGATGGAGTGCATTTTAGAATGTTAAAACTGTATGATTTGAGATAAAAATTTAAAAGATAAAATCTTTAAAATAATGTGTAACAGAATACATGAATTGATTAGCAATTTATGTATTTTATGAGCTATGAAACATAAAATATTTAATTCCATTATTAATTATCAAAACATTAAATATTTATTTTAATCAAATACATTCAACTTATTAGAAATATAAAAAAATATAGTAAAAGCGGGTCAAATGAAATAGTTAAGAGTTTTAATCTCTTTTTTTTACAAAAAAAAGATTTTAAATCCTTTTTTTTTTTAGGTTGTTGAGAATTAGGAGGTGTATTTAAATATATAAAAATTAAATAATTTTTTAAAAAAAGTCTTTTAAGAAACTTTATTTAATTAAAAAAGAAAAACTATTTTATTATACCCTCATATTTGTGGTAAATAAATGAAATATGCAAATTGATGGGTAATTAAAAGAATACTTAATTAAAAAATGCAACTAATGATTAAATTAAAAAACAACCAATTGATAAAGAAATAATATTTATTTATGCAATAATGCTGAGTTTTTTTAGAGATTCTGGAGGTTGAGTTGAGTTTTTACTTGTACTGAACATTTTGGCGCAATATAACATGTTGCATTTTATATATCGCTTTGGAATGAATGTTTGACAAAGTCGCAGGCCTTGTGATGAAGCATGAGCGATTGCTTTGCACACATGAAACACGCCCATAAATGGACTTCCAAACGCAACAAAAAGCACTTGCTAATTTTGTTAAGAGTAAAAAATCGCGCTCGTCTGAAGATCTTGGAAGGGAGAAAATTATAAATTGATTTTATAAAAAATATTTTTGGTAAAATCTTTTTGCTCAAGTCAAAATATGTTTAATTAAACAGTTGAGTTTGCATATAGTTAAATAAAACTTAAATAATACTAACGTTATATTCCTTATAAAGTACGTCACATATAAACTAAAATTCAAAATCTCAGTGCCAATAATTTATTTCTTATATTTAAAAGTTAAATTCAACATGACGTTTATTTTCAAAATTCCTGTTTAACTCTATCACATTATCCCTTAATCGTACCCTGGTTAAGTTGAACCATTCCATAACTAACACAGTTATTTTGTTTAATTTTTACTTTAAATTGCATAAAAGTTTATGTCATAAAATATCAAAACTTGAAACACTTTAATAAAAATTCCAAACTTTAAATGCTGAAAAATTAAATATCTGGTGTAATATTTTATTTATAATAATTTATTAAACTAAAACTTTATTGATAACTTCGATTTCGTACGGTTCAGGGTCATTAAAGCGAAAAATATTAAAGTGAAAAAGTTACTGGTTTCTATTAGCATTCTGTAACTTAAAAATTTTTTTTTTTTTTTTAATAAAAACGAATTTAATATTTATTTTATTATACTTAAAGTAGAAAAATTAATAATATAAAATTGTTAATAAAATATTAATTTAAACCATTATTAAAAAGTTAATTTAATGCAACATTATAAAAACAAAGATGAAAACCAAGTTGTTTTGTTAAAAAAAAAGGAAAATAAAGAAAAAATTCACTTTAACATCTTTTCTCTTTCAAACTTATCACTTGAACAACCTGCTACCATTTTGTAAAGGTTCGATCACATTTTTATTAATGATTATTATACTTAAAATTCAATAACATCAAATAAAATTGAAAACGTTCAAATATTAAATACTTTTGTGTTAAATATAAATTAACAAACAAAATATTTTTACTGATATCTTTAAATTGGTCTATTTATAATAAGTCTATTTATTAAAAAAGTTGAAGCTAAATAAAAAAAAAAATTAGAACTATAACAGAAAAATTCAAAATATAAATTTTTTCAGAATTCGAGTTAATGGGAAACTTAGACATGGTGTAAGACGATAAACAGCAGCATTGATGCAAACTATGTGTTGCTTTTCTTGATCACCAGAGAAGCGAATTTCATTAAAACTCTTCAAATGACATGCAGTGTTTTCTTTGATACCTGCTTTGTTGAATTCTATTTGCAGTGTACTGAAATACCTTATTACTATTTGTTGCGTGCAAGAAGTGGCTCTGAGTGTTTTAATATTGCCAAAGGCTCTGATGCTTAACTTATGAAAGTGTAACTTATAGTTGTTGAAAAGGTTGTATCAATCTTATACCAATGCTAATTAGCAGTGGTTCTAACACAAGATTAAGTATTTCAACTACCTATGTTGTTGTCGTTACCCTACTACCAATGCCCTTGACACACCTATATAGAGTTGCTACTGATATGCTGAATGATTGAGCAGCTTTGTTGAATGAAAGTTTGCCATTTTATATTTTTGCCACAGCAAGTAAGTCTTTGTCTTTAGTGTAATTTTTTTTTTAAAGATTTGATAATAATCAATTTAAAAGTTGAAAGAAGAATTTATAAAGATTCATTGGTCAATTAATTAATAAAAAACCTATATATATACACTAACCAAATAATTAGCATATTTCATTCAACCCTATAGTTCATTGTTTTTATTTTTAATTCATAACTTTTTACCGGAAATTTGAAAAAAGATTCTTGACTGGTGTAAAATGTTATTCAAGGATACGTTTTAAGTTTATTGCCAGCAAATTTCACTTTTTCGAATTTTATCCCCATTTTTCAATTTAAAAAAAAATTATTATACGACCAAAAATTTGATCATTCAGAAAAAAAAATTATTTATTTTGTATTAAATTTTTATATTATCTTATTCAGAAAAAAAATTCTCCACAACATGATCATAAAATATTTGCAAAATGTATATTCAATAAATAAGTAGGAACAAAAGAATAAACAGCCGCTTTTACCCGCTTTTATTCTATAAATAAATTAAAATACTTTTAGATTAATCAATCAATTAAGTCATTGACAAAACAATAAATAAAAATTTTAAATCTCTGACCTATACCTTAATTCCATCCATTAACATGTCAATTTTGAAAATGAATTTATCTTTAATTTGGACTTTTTCATGTTTGTAATATACTTCAAAGGTTTTGGAGATAGCAGTGTTAGAATGTTGATCAACAAAAGCTTTAAATAAACTCGAGCAAGACTTCACATCTAGATTAAAAAACATATTAAAAAACAGAGCAAAAAGAACATTTTAAAAACAAAAATAAAAATGCTGTTAGCAAGCAGATAATAAGACAACATTTAAACCATAAAAAAATACTGTTAGCAAGCATATAATAAGAAAACATTTAAACCATAAAAGAAAAATGTTTTAGCAGACAAATATTACGCAGTTCAATTTTCATCTTTATTATCATCAAAAGAATATTTTTTTAGAATGAAATTGATCATAATATAATTTTTTTGAATGTACTTTATGAATAAATTTATGAACAAATTTATGAAAAATTTTCTGAAAAAATATAAGAATAGTTGTATGCATCACAAAACCTGTTAAACTTTTTTCAATTTTATTTGCATAATTGCATTTAAATTAATTCTAAAAATGCTAGAGCAAGTTACTTTAATCAAATTTTAATGATAATTAAAATATAACAAAGATATGTTTGCAAATAGGATATTTACTTTTTTTAAATTATACTACTTCCATACTTTAAGATAATATTTAAATAAAATTTTTTATAAAACAGATTTTTCAGTGATCAAAGAAAAATGCATTTTTAAATACAAACTTCTTTAGTATGTAGACTCCCATTACAGGTTGGTTAGAAAAAAATACATCAAATTTATTTTTATATATCAAATAAAAGAATATATTTATTCCATTTAATAAATCATAAACAGTTAAATTGAGTAAATGACATAAAAAATCTAGCAGAGTGCTTCAAATGTATAAAGTTATAAAAGCGATCAACCAGGTTTTGCTAGTACAAAATATTACCCAATGGTATTTCAAATTCTAATCGTATAATCAGATATACATTACTAATATTACAAAACACGGGACAATATTTTGCTTTAAAGTACATAAATAAGAGAATTATCAACTTAATTAAAAAAAAATTATAGCAGGTTTTAAAAAGAAGCATCATTTTTATAATCTTTTCTTTCACTTAACATGAACTCTTCCTCAACTTTCTTTGTCGTTCAAGGGACTCATAAAAGTAACCTTTTATACAGAAATTTGCTTTCGTCTGGCCAAAATGATTGACCACTTTGGCCAGACGAAACTTCATTCATTATTCTTCGTTTTCCCTCATCGTTTTCTAAAAACGCTCACTTAATTTAGGCTAGCAAAAAAAGTGAGCAATTGCGCATATAAATATACTATAGTAGATAATATATATATATATATATATATATATATATATATATATATATATATATATATATATATATATATATATATATATATATATATATATATATATATACATACATGTATATAAATGTATTTATATATACACATATATGTATATATACACATATATGTATATATACACATATATGTTTATATATATATATGTGTATATATACATATATGTATATATATGTATATATATATATATATATATATATATATATATATATAAAGATATATATATATATATATATATATATATATATATATATATATATATATATATATATATATATAAAGATATATATATACACATATATCTTTATATATGTATATATATACACATATATGTATGTATATAATGTATAAATGTTTGTTTACCAAGTGCGACTTCCAAAACCGCTACTTTCGTATGTTGCAAAATAGTTTTATTTCGTATGTCAACTCGTGAAATGCTAAATTTTGGAAGTAGCATTTGCGAAATGAACATGAACGATTTTAAATGTTTTGTAATATTCAGTATGAAAAAAATGTAATTTCTTGTTCTCAATCTCCTTACAAAAGAATGTTATTTTTCCGGAATTGCACGAAATCCTCTAGTTAACAACCCTAATATATATCTGCATTTATATAATTCTCCCCCTTTGAAACTATAATTTTTTAGGATCAGATTTTATAAAATTACAAAGAAAACAGAAACAGCTAATCAACAACAACTAAAAGAACAATTTGATGAAGCCAAAACTGTTTCAGTTACAAAACTGTTGAGTTACCACCTTTTTTTTTCCCTTTTAATTTATCAAAATACCTGTCTTTTAAGCAATAAACGTAAGTAGATTTGACCATGTTTTTATTTCTGTTTTAGAAAAGACCACTCTCCAATTCTTTGTAATAACTACAACTCAACTATTGGAGTAAAATTTGTGATAAACGTTTAAATTTTAGGTGCTATGTTCATTTTTAAATATTTCAAGTTGTTTCATTGAATTAACTAAGACCAAAAAAGTTTCAATGAAAAAACTAAGACCAAAACCCTTTCTAAAAATAGCAGATTTTTGTTGGTTGGAGGCAAACTTAAAATAGCTTTATCTTAGAAACCGATTGAAATAAGACGATAAAATTTTCAGGTTGTTCATAATTTACTAAAATCTTTGAAACTTAAATCTTGCATATGTTAATTTATACATTACTTTATTTATTTATTTATTTTTTTTTTTGCCTCTACACTAGCGCTATCTGCAGTAACATCAGGTAATCTGTTTTGCATACTTATACAGTTTTATGGGTGTTATGTGTATTCAAACTTAAACTTTATATTTGTCAGTTTATACATAGCAGGCCTTGTTTTAAAGTGTAAACCATTTATGTACATGCTGAGTCATTTAACATAAGCGATAAGCCATTTTGGTCGAGCCTTATTTTATTATTTTTTAACATTTAAACAAGTCTAACGATAGCATTTATTAGATAAGATAAGAGAATTAATTAAAGTTATAACAACAACTTATGAAGCTTGAATGACAATTACAACTGATGTTAGCGCAATTTGCAAATGTAATTTTTATTAACTTAACTTTTCCATCAAAAATGTCCAGCAAAAGAAAAAGAAAAATATGACACGTAAAAAAAAGAAATCGTAAAAAAACTTTTATTTATCATCTTACAAGCGTAAGAATATTAACAAAATAATTACCAAATTTAGAGGAAAAAAAATAATTATTAGCTAAAAGTTAGTTCACGTTAAATTTTATTTTATATTAATACCACTTTTGATATTTTTTTTTAAATCATTTTATATATTTTAGAATGTTAAGAAATAATAATAATAAAAAAAAATTAACATATCTTAATTCATTTATATAAATGTCAAGAAAAGAATGAAAATTAATCTATGTTAAATGATAATGAAAAATATGTTTCAATATTAAATAATTAAATTTAATGTAACATTTAATTATTTAATATTGAAAAAGAAAAAAAATTGAAACAAAATAGACATTTCACAATACGTACATTTACAAAATAACACTTCTAGATTCGTTTTTCTTAATTAGTAAATTAAATTTGTTTTGCAGTCAAGCTTGGTCAGGAAGGCGTGCGATCGCACGCTATTAAATAATACTTTATTTTGATGATTTGACCACGGTTTTTAAAAATGCGCTTAAAAAATTTATTTTTAATTAGATCTTTACTAACATTTTTGTATTAGCGAAATGCTTTTAAATAAAGTAACAGTTACTGTTAACATTTTAATTTAAAGTATAGATGAAAGTTGCATAAATTTTTATTTATATTATTTAAATAGATATAAGATTATATTATTAATAAATAAAATAACATATAAAATTTTTTAATTATTCAAATTTAAGCGATGACTTTAACAACGACGACTTAAACAACGATTACCTCTTTAATAAACTTTATTTAAGAATCATTAAAGTTAATACACTCAAAAAAATTTTGTTAAGAAGAAAAAAAGACAAACTTTTGAATTAAAGACAGCCGTTTGAATTAAACTTTTAAATGTTTTTATATTATTAAAACGCTTTTTAATAAAGTAACAATACACCTTTTCATAGTTTCAATATAAAATTTATGCGCGCGCAGAAATGGAAATAAAAAAACGTAAACAAAACGTTTAACTTTTCAGCGGTTTAAGCTATAGAGGTTTATAATGGAAAAAAATGTAAATACTAAACCTATACCATATAGAAGTTTCAAGAATTCAAAAACATGTGCTATAATTGATTGTAAAAATAACTAGTACAATCTAAAAATGTGGAAAGGTGATTTATGTATGATGTAAAATGTTAAACGAAGCTCTAACTTGCAAACTGCAGACTACCATGAGTAAGCATTTGTTATCAATTATCAACACACACACAGATATATAACAATATAAAAACAACCACAGCTCAGAGAAAAATTGAGAAAACTAATTAAATGTTCAACTCCTACATTAACACGTCATAGTAAATTATTTACCATAAAATATCAAATGAGATTTTCCTGATAGATTACTATCTTTTAAAAATCGATATTCTTCGTTAAACTTAGGCTACAATGCTTAAAGACTTATATTAATAAATGTAAACAATGCAAATTTTTTAAACAATGATTCATGAATTTAATGTTAATCGTTGTTTTATAATAGAGAATTAAGAATTAAAAAAAGAAATTGATAACTTAAAAAAAGAACTTCAGCACAAAATTGAGAAAAAATAAAGATTTATATGAAAAATTAACTTCAACCACATCAGTTATTATGATGAAACCACACAAGTTTGTATATAAACATCCAAACAATTCGTGTTATTGCATTTTACTTGTATACAAATATTTATTTTAAAAATGATAGACTTTTATACTGGCCTTACAATTGTCAATGTGTTTCATGAGTTATATAGTGTAGTATCACCATTAATCAAAAGAAGATAAAGTAATGTTAAAAAAACATCTACTGCTGTTTTTTGATATTTAAAAAAAAACCTAAACCATTTGGACCAAAATAAAAGTTATGCAGCAAAGATGAATTTTTAATGATGCTAAGACTTGGATTACTGACAACTAATCTTGCTGACAGGTTTAATATATTTTTAGGATTAGCCAGTGCAATATTTTCTACACAGGTGAAAGATTCTAGCTCACTTTATAACCACATAGCTTTTTTTCCAGGTAAAGATGTTATAAGGCAATGACAAACAGATTTAAGAACTAAAATTATTCAGACTTACGCTAAATTTCAGATATAAGAGAGTTTTTTATTAAAACATCTAAAAATTTGGACTTACAGAAACTAACATGAAATGAATACAAACATCATAAAAATATAAATACATTAGTATCTTTAGCTCCAAATTAATCAATAATTTCTTTAAATAATCTTTAAAGCCTACAGAGGCTTTCAGAAAAAGAAATTACAAATCGCAACAACTATTCAGATTACATTCCAAAATACTCTTGTATAATGTATGATAAAGCTTTAATACAATCTACCACACAGCTCCCCCTGGTTGAAAAAATACAGCTTGAATGACTTGACAAATGACAAATGAAGAACTAAAAATAATAATAAAAGAAACCACTAATTTAAGGATACTGGTTGAACAAGTTATTAGAAGAGCAACGACATTTCAAATTTTATCAAGAGTTTTCACTTAAAATAATGAAACTATTTAATGATATTGTTTTTATTTTCTTAGCTTAGAGGCTTTACATTATAATACATCTTTTTTTATATTGATTATATAATTATATATATATATATATATATATATATATATATATATATATATATATATATAATATATATATATATATATATATATATATATATATATATATATATATATATATATATAAAGATATATATGTATATACATACATATATGTGTATATATATATATATATATATATATATATATATATATATATATATATATATATATATATATATATATATATAAAGATATATGTGTATATATAAAGGTATATGTGTATATATATATATGCATGTATCTTTATATATATATATATATCTTTATATATATATATATATATATATATATATATATATATATATATATATATATATATATATATATATATACAAAGATATATATGTATATACATACATATATGTGTGTATATATATATATATATATATATATATATATATATATATATATATATATAAAGATATATGTGCATATATATATGCATGTATCTTTATATATATATATATATATATATATATATATATATATAGATATATATATATATATATATATATATATCTTTATATATATATATATATATATATATATATATATATATATATATATATATATATATATATATATATATATATCTTTATATATATATATATATATATATATATATATATATATATATATACATATATATATATATATATATATATATATATATATATATATATAAACATATATATACATATATGTATATAAACACATATATTTATATATACATATATATATATAAACATATATATGTATATATACATATATGTGTGTATATATAAATACATTTATATACATGTGTATATATATATATATATATATATATATATATATATATATATATATATATATATATATATATATATATATATATATGAATATATATATATATATATATATATATATATATATATATATATATTATCTACTATAGTATATTTATATGCGCAATTGCTCACTTTTTTTGCTAGCCTAAATTAAGTGAGCGTTTTTAGAAAACGATGAGGGAAAACGAAGAATAATGAATGAAAAGGTTGCTGACCCATACCAAACCCTCAGTCGATGTAGCAGCACTCCACTGCGAGTCAGGCTATTTGTCAGTCGATGTATGTACTGAAGCCCCCGGCAGCAGGCTATTTGACTTTAGGTGAGTATGACATCATCACGCTCACCTAACTCAGCAGTATAAGATATATATGTATGGGTGTATATATATATATATATATATATATATATATATATATATATATATATATATATATATATATATATATATATGTATATATATATATATATATATATATATATATATATATATATATATAAATTTAGCTTTAAACTCTACATTAAGTACATATCAACTACAAAAAAAGATAGTTGAATTATTTTTTACAAATCCTAAAGTCAATGTTTTGAGGTACTTCTTTTTCACTTGTTTCTTAATATGTTATTTAAACTGGATTAGACAGGCTCTTTATTTAATACTTAAATAAGACTAATCGCACTGGTTTAATAATATTTTTTGATAAATCTTAGTTTTGCTTTGTAAATCTCAAACAAATTACTGTTAAAATAACATTTGCTTACGTTTTTACTTCGTTTTCTGCGCGCATAAATTTTACATCGGAAGTGTGAAAAGGTGTATTCACGATTTTTTTGTAAATAAAAAAATTATCGATTAGAGTTAATACACTCAAAATATAACAATTTTTTTTTACAAGAATGCAAGTTAAAAAAAATATATAAATATAATTTTTTTTTAAAAAGTTATATTTATAATTTTTGAATTCTAAAGTTTTTTTATGTTGTTATCTTTTAAATGTGTGTACTTATTAAAAAATCGTTTTAAGTTGTTACTTTGTTTAAAAGGGTTTTCTATGTCTATATAATAAATAAAAAACATGCTTTTTTTGTTCGTAAGTTAGTTGTCATTTTTGTGAATTGCATCCCCCCCCAAAAAAAAAAGCGTCATTAAAAAAAGTTTCTTCGTTAAGTTTGATTGTTTTTTTAAAAAATACCACTAATGCGCAATGAAGTATATATATTTTATAAAAACATTATATTTTATATTTTATAAAAACAAAAGTGTTTATTTACATTTTTTTGTCGATTAGTACTTTTTATTATCATTTTTTTACTATTAATATAATTTTATATGGTGCGGTAACAAAGCAGACGGGACACTGCTAGTTTTACTTTATAAAAACATTAGTAAATATTCAAAGTTATTTATTTTAAACAAAACTATCTTATTGTTTATTATTTATTTTAGTTAAGTTTTGTTTTTATTTTTTTCATTTTTGTTTTAGTTTCTTATTACTAAGCTATTTAAGTTTATTTACTAAGCTTATAACTAAGTTAAGTTTTCAGCGCTTTATTGAAATGTTAAAACTGTGGTCAAACTGTCAAAACAAAATATTATTTGCGTAATCAAATAAAGCCTTGAAATCGCACACCTTCCTGACCAAGCCTGTTTAAAGTATGTTATTTTATTGTGGTAGTTAAAAAAAGTTAATGTCTATAAATGAAAGAAAAAAGATAATTTTATGATGTCAAAATCACGACAAGCTAATGTGCTGAGTCATTTTTATTTAAAACAAGGCCTGCATTCATCATTTTGTAACTTCCTAAAAAAAATCCCACAGAGATATGCCGCTTTTCTGAACTTTCATCTTGCGGATACTTTGTTCCTGAATCACAAAACAGTCCATTTTCAACCAAGTATACACATTCTTTATTGCTAATAGAAGGTGGCCACAAATCTGTATCTTTCAAAGCCGATATTTTTTTATAAAACTTTATAACTACTTCTTTTATCTTAAATCATAATAATGATTTTTGCTTAAATATTAAAAATTAAAAAGTAATCAAAAGTTGCTTAACCAAAACAGAAAAAAGCTTTGTGCATACACAATGAAAATAAAATAAACAATGATTTGTAAATATCTAGAGTAAAAAATATAAATGTTTATAAGCTTCCTAAACCATTAAAACATTTGACTTAAATATTTATATAAAATTTATATAAAAAAAACTAGATAAGTAAAACTTCTTTGAGAAAAAAAGAATCAATTACAGTAAAAAGATGCAGCTTTGCTAAATGATCAGTCTTTTAATGTTGAGTTATAGTTGAAGGAACATAAGATGATAGTGACCTTGATCAGCTAAAAGATTATTAAAAAAAATTAGGCATTAGAAGAACCAGTATAAATAGAACAACAGTATAGCATACAAAAACAAATGAAAATTTATAGGCACAATAGAGGTAACCGCAACTGGAATATATAGCTGCGCAATCAGCAAATAGAACTCCATTAGAGATAAACCTATCAGAAAGATCAATAATATAGATGAGGGAATAACACAGGATCAGGGATAGAACCTTGTAATATCCAAAAATTACTTTCAAAAAGAGTGTCAAGGACAGCTTTAATGATGTGGCTGAGAAATAATTCAACATTTTAAAAATTTTCCTTGATACACCATATGAAGGGAGCTTAAGGAAAAGACTAATATACCATAAAAAGCCTTTCATATGACAAGAACAATAGCCTTTGCCTTACTATTTCTTAATGAAGTTCTAATGTCCTGAAGTTTTGAATTTTCCAATGTCATTGAAGTTTCACTTGAGGAATCTAATATCATTGAAGTTTCACTTCAATGACATTAGATTCAGGAATCCATACTCTATTATTCAGGAAGATCAGATATTCACAAAAATATTTGAAGGACTATAATTGAACTATTAAGGTTTTTTGATAAAATCAATTATAAAATTAACTTATTAGGTAATGCTTCAGATCAGACACAAAATATTTTTAACAATTTTTTAGAAAAAATAAAATTATGCATACTACAAAAAGGCTTTTGAAAAATGCACTATTTTCTGTAAAAATATAAAACAAACATTTGTTTTATTATACTAACACATTAAAATTTGCTGAAATTATAAGAAGTGTTAAAATTCAAATTTACCTTTTTTATCATTTGCTAATTGACAAGTTATAATTGAAAACAATTTAGGTGGTGACTGAACCAAACATCTAACCTGATAATATCTTAAAAAATTATATTATTTAAAAATTATTAAAAACAATTTTTTAAATAGAAAAATAGAATTGAAAAAAAAAAAAAAATCGTACAAAAAATATACTTCCCACACAGTAGTTCAAACTATTTCTTTAAAATTAAGTAAAAATCATTTATAGTTAAACCATTAAAACAAGGTTACATTAAGAGTGAAAATATATATGATAGTCCAATATTATATATATATATACATATATATATATATATATATATATATATATATATATATATATATATATATATATATATATATATATATATATATATATATATATATATATATATATATATTATATATATATATATATATATATATACAAAATCATATTCAAGATTTATCTCAAAAGATGGTCGCTTATTTTTAAAATACAGTTACCAGGAATAATAACATTTAATATTACCAATGTTGTATTTATAATAACTTACCCGCGTTGAAAAAGATCAACATTGTAAAAATTTTCCAATTCCACGACAACCTCTTGAGTGACTTGCAAGTCTGACATTTTTAGTATAATGTATGGTATAAATTTGTTTTTTCAATTTTACCATTAACTTCATCACTACTTATATCATGTTTTCTTCACTACGCGTATCATATTGTTTAAGAATAATTAAACATGCAACAAAATATTTTTAAGCCAAGTGGTTAAGTCCCTGAATATTTAAATAATTTTCGAAACCTTTTTAAATTTTGAGCATACTCTAAATAAAATTTTTAATAAATAAGTTTGTTGACTTTTGCGGTAACACATTCTATTATTATTAAGTTATCTACATGATAAGCATAGCCACAATGTAACACTATATTTTGGATATTAGTAACTTATTAATTAATTCCAATTTATTAATATAATAAAATTATCGTAGTGATAATTGTAACCTTAAACTTATTTTTAATAATAGAGATGCACATTTCTTTTTTATTGACGTAAATCTTAATTTGTAATGACAAGCACATCAATTTTTTAAAGGTTTTGTTTAAAGTAACCGTAGTTATCGGGCACGCACTATTATTACGTTTCAGCGATTTGTGGTTGCACGTTAATGCGTTTTTAATCGTTTTAATAGTAACGCGTTTTTTATAGTTTTAAATCTTATATAAATTCTGTTTTATTAAAATTAAAACTTATATAAATTCTGTATTAGTTTTGTAGTGTCTTAATTAAAAAAAATAATAGTTTACAAACTAATTTTCATTACACAAAGTCACACCTTAAGGCAGCTGTTTTCAAAAAAATTGCACTTTTTGGTACAATAAACCTCGGTGCCTTATTCAGGACCGCAGAAAGCTTAAATGACGCCCGGAGCATAGCATCAATTAGACACTCCTATTAACATCAATATTTTTAAAAGGAATTTAAATTAAAAGCATGCTAAGAATTGTGTTTTAGCTTATAATTCTGTTGTTTTACATTAATATTTTCATGAAACGCTTGCGAATTAAATAACATTTAACATTTACTTGATTATTAATATTTGCCATAGAAGGTGAACAATCTTTAAGTAAAACTAAAAATTGATTAAATATTTTTTACGTCCCATACCCACTGGGGTTTAGAAGTCTACCGGATACTCGTTTTGAAAATGAATTGGATATATCTCTGTTGTTAGATGACATTATAATAACAATAATAATAACATATCAATGCTGTAACAGAGATAATGCATACCTGCAGAACCAATCACTAGGTTATTGCAGCTGTTACTATAAATATAATCATGCAACCAAAGTCGTTGCTTGAAGAGGGTAACTATACAGCACTTAATTGTGAACGTCGCTGGCAACAACATCATTGTGAATGTAGCTGTCAGTAATCATACCTGGACGATAGCTTTAAATGAACTTAATGATATTGCATTGGTATCTTCAGTTTCTAATGTAATCCACAATTTTGCAGCTCTGTTTGTAAAGAAATTAAATCTTGCTGTACAATTTGTTACACGTTCAATATTTAATTTATACCCTTGCCTATGTGTATGAATCCCAGATTTATCAATAACTGGAAACGCAAAACTTGACTTTTCTTATACCCATGAACAGTTTTATACATTTGGATTAAGTCTCGACGCTGTCGTCTTAAATCCAAACTAGTTAAATTCAAATATTTATGGCTTTCTTTGTACGATAAATCCTTAAATTTTTAAGAGCTTCTTGTTACTTCGCGCTGAATCTTTTCCTATCGCTAAATACAGACACCTTATTACAATTGCATATTCTATATGTGGCCGTATATATACAATTTATGCAACATTTCTATTATTTGTGCGTTAATTATGCTAAACGCTCTTTTTATCAGACCAATTTTTGAATTTGATTGGTTTATTTGATTATGATTTATATTAAATGCGTTTCGCACTTGCGTTTTCCATTTTAAATCTGATCTTTTTGTGATTCCTAAATCTCTTTCTTCATTCGATAATTTTGAGACTACACCTTTTCAAGATGTAATTGAAAACTTGAATGTTGTAATTAAGAAAAGTAAGATGTAATTGAGAAATCAACATGTAATTTAGAAATCCCAATAAGTAATTAAGAAACACAACATGTAACTAGGAAATTTTAAAATGTAATTGAGAAAACTAACATGTAAATAAGAAATCGCATTATGTAATTAGAAAAACAAAAGTTTTAATTAAGATCTCGTAAAATGTAAATGAATACATTATTTGTAATTGCGAATTCACAATATAAGCTTAAAGGTCATTATAAAAGATCTTCTGGAACATGCGTTTTAATAATTTAATAAAATCAAGTTTAGCATTTGTATGAACCAGCAATACAGTAATGGATTTAAAAGATCGTTGTTTTATTGTCAATACACTATGAACAGAAAGTATGAAATTAAATTGAATCCGTACAAGCATTTATTTCGCTACATCCACTTCTGGAACAACCAGAACCAACTTGTCCAATTTGTAGATATGAAATACATGCAACTGAACAAGTTGAAAGAAAGCATTACGCTTTATCTTCATTGAATAATAGAGTTATTAAATGTGCTGAGCAAAATGTTGATTAGGTGACTCTGGCGCAAACTTTAGGTGTCAAATATAAAATAGCTTACAATTGGTTTCGCAGCAGAAATTCAAATTTTATCGGAAGAGGTGGTTTTAAACCCAAAAAATTGACTGATGAAACGCTAACATGGGTTGGAAGTGACTTTTATTTGACATTGGTGGCTATCAAAACAAAAATATTACGATACTTTAATATTAGCGTCAGCATAAGAAAAATCACTAATTATCTCAAAGCGAGGATGTTTTCATTAAAAAAAAAAGTGCACAAGTTTACTACAATGAACTGTAACAAAATGAAACGAGAAAAGAGCTGAATTTATTAGGAACATCAATAAATATATCACAAATGGTCATCAGATAGTTTAGTTGGATGAAACAAATTTTAACCTTTTTTGTAGAAAAATGCAAGAAGGTACCAAATAGGAAAGAAAAGCAATAACGAATATACATGTTTAATAAGGTGCAAACATACATTTGATTGCAGCTATATTAACAACAAATCTCGCAAAGGATCATTTAATGTAAATTGTAACGGGTGGATGTTGGCTGTGTTTCACCTGTGGGTTACATCCAGGAATCGATTTGGTAGTTGTAACAGATAATGCTTCGTGTCACGCTCGTTTGGAAAGGGTTTAAAAAACTCATCAGTTCAGTTGTTATGTTTAGGATCCTACAATCCAATATTAAACCCAGTGGAAACTATCTGGTCTAAAACAAAAATTAACGTTAAAAATTTGATTCGCATTCTACCTCTATTCGGTGTTGGGATTATTGAATAAAGAATGCAGTATTTAGAAAGAATTGTTGCTGCGGCAAAAAATGCAATAATGAGAGGTGATAGTACACGCGCTGTACAACATACGACCACGCATTACGCAGCGCTTTTAAATATGGAAGATGTCCAAGTTGGTGCTTAACTAAATATTGAAATGATTTTTAATAAAGTTTTTAAATTCTATTTAAATTTTACATTTTTATGTGAATAAATTATTTGTGTTTTATTCATTATTCATCAATTACATTTTTCACAAACAAAAATAAAAAAAAGTTTTAATTGACACCCAATAGGATTTTTCCAGTTACCGCCTAAACCTGAAATGCCTTTTTCATAACTTTTTATATTTTATTAATACTATATTATTATTTCCAGCCTTAAATGACAAAGTATATTAGGACTACAGAAAACGAACTTAATTGGCTGGGTGAATAAAAAAAAGCAATTGCTTTTACTTAGTAATTGGTCTGCTTTGCGTGAATAAAAATTTGAGGACTTTTTCGTAAGTTTTTGTTCACGTAAAGCTGAGCAACTATTGAGTAAATTGCTTAACTTTACGTGAACAACTATTTCTGCAAAAATCCTGTAGTTTTTATTTACGTAAAACCGACCAATTACTGAGTAAAAGCAATTGCTTTTTTTTATTCACCTGACCTAATATTCTTTATACTTTCTTTAATTACAACTATCATGTTCTCAATTACATTTTACGATTTTTTATTTACAACTTTAATTTTCTCAATTACATCTGACGTTTCTTAATTACAACTTTTATCTTCTCAATTACATCTCACTTTTCTTAATTACAACATTCATCTTCTCAATTACATCTTACTTTTCTTAATTACAACTTTCAAGTTCTCAATTATATCTTGAAAAAGTTTTGCGCCATCTACTTTATTTGTTTATTTGAACTTTCACTAACGTGAAATAAGAAAAATCTGAAATCCATTTCAATAATTAGCTTTTTTTACCATAAGCTGATAATTTTAACAATAATCTCCGATGCGGTGCTGAGTTGAAGACCTTAGCGAAATCTAAAAAAATAGTATCTGGGGACAAATTTTAATATTGAAATTAAAAATTTTAATTTCAAAAAAGTTGATTCTGGTTCAATAACTTTTCACCATCTAAAAAGTTAAGTATGCAGCCATGTTAAGTATGCAGCCATTTATAACGCATTCCATGACTTTACATACAACAGAGGACAAAGACACGGGTCTATAATTCTCTGCAATCAATCTACTACCCATCTTAAATAACGGGTTTACATTTGAAGCTTTCCAAATATCAGGTATTTTAGAATTACTGAACAATATATTAAACAGAATACTTAACGGTTTTGAAAAGCTGGATGAATAGTTTTAATACGTATCCATGCACATTATTTACGCCAATAATCTTGTAAGAATCTAATTTTAATAATTGTTGATATACATTGGACTCATTAAAGGTAAGTATAAGACAATCTTTATCAATTTGAATAGTAAAATTTTGTAATTTTTTTGTTTTCTTGTTGTGAAAATACTGATTTAAATTAATTATTTAATTGATTGTGAATATCAAACCCGTTAGTTAATGACTGAACTGATTCCTATTGTTTAACGTACGAGTAAAGTTTTTTTTTGTTTATACCTGAAATTTTTTATCAACCATATTTCATAATTCGTTTTTGATAATTTTGCTTGTTTTTCAGCTTCATGCTTGAACAAATTTTGTTTATACAGCATGAAGCTAACTTCATCGATTAATTGATATGATTTGATTTGATAAAGTTATATGGAGGACGATAAACGCATCCTAATAAATTTTTTCATCACCAATGATTAGTTCACGCCAAATTTGTTCAACTAGGTTAGATAGACCAGTTATGAAAACTTCAGCACATGGTAGATGATTTTTGACATATATTACTACGCCTCCACCACGTTTTTCTACAGACCAATCAATTTTAAATGATGTATAACCCCTCAAATATATTGACAACTGTAGTGTTGTTAACATATTTGAGGGATTATACCATATTTATTTCACAAAAATAATATCAGGATCATCATTTTGAATAAGTGATTCAAGTAGTAACCATTTATAATTGAGCGTTTGTGTACCAAGATTTTATTGAATCATATTAATACTTTTGTAATTGGATATCTGAACGCTTAATATTATTTACATTTGTAACAACTTCTATAGTATTTTGATTTAATATACTTTGATTATCACTTTTCAATAAAAAATCAAAAGAATTGGTTAAATTTAATAAAGAGAAATATACGATCTATTTATTTAAAGGTAGAAGATGTGTTTGCATTTAGTGATTGTTATTAAGTCTTTCTTAACTTAACAACTTTATTGGATCTATTAATATAATAAAAATGTGGATCATTATTGCTGCTATTTTCATTTTTGCACTTATTCCTCAATTGCTGTCGTAAAATTCTCTGTGCATCTATCAAGTCTGGATTTTTAAATATGTTTTAAAAATCAATACCTCCTTTCAACTTTCTTGCACTCTTTAAAACTAGATGGCGTGTTTTCCAACTATCAAACAAAACTATGACTGGTGGTGGTTTGCTTAAATCTTTAGATATTAACTGTATGATTCTATTAGTTTGAACATTATTTTGACTTAAGTCTTTGATGATTTTACTAATTTTATTTTTATCATCTTTATATTTATCATGTATTTGTTTTATATGACAACGGTAAATCAAAAATAACTACGTTTTTTTCTTTCTGGATATGTCAAACGATTCTCGAGAAATCGTATTTATGAAACTAAGTCGCTCTGTTGATTTAGGTTTAACACATGCAACAATAATAGACCATGTATTACCAGCACTGACAATACCATTATTTAAGTTATTTACCAAACTTCGTAATTTAGCTATTTCATTTTCAAGACCATTAATGAATTTGTTTTTCTTATCATTTTATTTTTTTAAAATACAAAAACATTTTACCAAGTTATCGAAATCTTTGGATGAAACTGTTGTCATTTGATTGTTCTAGAATATTTTAGTCGTCAAACTATCAATTATTTGGTTGAGAGCAACCATAATCATTTTAATTCTCCTGTTACAGTTTTTATTTGTTATTGTTTTTCTTTCAAAAAATAAAAATCAGTGAATTAACTTTTCATAATCGAATTTATTATAGTCTAGTATTAGTAAATTAACATTTTAGTTTCTTGAGAAGTTTTTATTGATAATAATATTGTGTTTTTGAACTTAACTTGAGATTGTATTTATAAAATACAATATTTAAAATTATTGTTATATATTAAAATTTTTTACCTTTCTCTGCTTAGTTTATCTTCATTGCATTTATTGTTTATAATTGTTTTAATCGAATTATAAACTTTTTATAGAAGATAACTACAACTTCCAAAAAAAAAATATCGCTAAAGCGAGTTTACTAAACTTCCATTTTTATATGCATACATGAAAGTTCACTGGAAGCTCATTGAAAAAGTTTATTAGAAGTTCACTGGGTTTTGGAATAACTACACGGGAAGTTCGCTGGATAGGATCACTGGAAATTTGCTTGGTTTTGGAACATTTTTTCACTGGAAGTTCACTGAGTTTTTTTTTAAAGTTATGTACTTATTAAACTCCATCTTAGATTTGATATTTACTATAAAATTATCTTATTATAAATTTTGAACTATTTTAAAAAAACGTTTAATTTATCGGGAATTTTTTTAGCCATTAAAGTAGTTACAGTGTTAAATTTGCACAAGAAAAAGTAATGTACATAAGAGTAAGTAATGTACACAAGAATAAGTAATGTACATAAGAATAAAAAAATTTACATAAGAATAAGTAATGTACATAAGCATAAGAAATTTACATGAGAATAAGTAATGTACATAAGAATAAGTAACTTACATAAGTTTAAGAAATTTACATAAGAATAAGTAATGTACATAAGAATAAGTAATACACATAAGAGTAAGTAACTTACATAAGAATAAGTAATGTACATAAGAATAAGTAATTTACATAAGAATAAGTAATGTTCATAAGAATAAGAAATTTACATAACAATAAGAAATTTACATAAGAATAAGAAATGTACATAAGAGTAAGTAGCTTACATAAGAATAAAAAATTTACATAAGAATAAGTAATGTACATAAGAGTAAGTAATTTACATAAAAATAAGTAATGGTCATAAGAATATTTAAAGTAATTTACATAAGAATAAAGTAATTTACATAAGAATAAGTAATGTACATAAGAATAAGTAATGTACATAAGAATAAGTAACTTACATCAGAATAAGAAATTTACATAAGAATAAGTAATGTACATAAGAGTAAGAAATTTACAAAAGAATAAGTAATGTACATAAGAATAAGTAACTTACATCAGAATAAGAAATTTACATAAGAATAAGTAATGTACATAAGAGTAAGTAACTTACATAAGAATAAGTAATGTACATAAGAATAAGTAATTTACATAAGAGTAAGTAACTTACATAAGAATAAGTAATGTATGTTAGAATAAGTAATTTACATATAAATAAGTAATGTACATAAAAGTAAGTAACTTACATAAGAATAAGAAATTTACATAAGAATAAGTAATTTACATAATATTAATAACAAATTGCACGGTCCACATTATCAATTAATAAGCAGCCGTGGCGCAGTGGTAGCGCACTTGCCTCAGAAACGTAAGATCCGTGGTTCAACCCCCCCCCCCCCAATGAACAAGTTTTGCGACATCGGTTGGGAAGGAGGCGTGAACTTCCTATTAAATGCTCTTCCGCGGTGCTCTGTGATGAAACCGTAAGGACTTCTTGGGACACCTTAATCAACTTTAAAAAAAAAAAAATGTATTCTAAAAAGTAAAATGTGTAGTTTGATAAATAAATTAATTAAATAAAATCTTTTACAAATAAAATGTGTAGTCTGACAGATAAAATGTGTAGCCTGGCATATCTAATGTGTAGTCTGACAGATAAAACATGTAGTCTGACTGATAATATGTTGATGAAATATGTAGACTCTTAATGCTATGAAAAAAATGTTATATCTCTAGTTTAATAACATTAAAGATAATTATATTCAAATGTATTAATTCCTCTAATCTCCTTAACTTAAAGTGTAATAAAAACATAAAAATATTATTTGAAACATCACAATTGATGATTGAAGAAGCTCACCAGCTCCACAAAACTCGGGCAACTCCTCCGTTAAAGTACTCTGATTATAACAAACTCCAGGAAACAGTCTATAAGCTTCCTCCTGATTGCAAAAGTCTTTATCAGGAGGTATTTGCTTTCGAAGTCTCGTTGGTTGTTTAAAGCAGCTATTTGCGTCAGGTGAGTTAACGACAATAAATATAAGATTAGTATTTGGTACATCTACTAATTCAAAATACTGATATTTACCATTTGCACACAAAATGCGTAGAGTAGAAGGATTTCTTTTATTCTGTTTTTTACTTTCATCTTCTTTTTTATAAAGTTCTTCTCGTTTATCGTTCTGAAATAGATAAAAAGATATTTGCTCTGTGCAAGTAATGTTTATCACGTTATTCTTTTTGGTATTTTGTAAAAAAACTTCGTTCTGATTCAGCAAAAAAATTACATGCGTAAAAGTTTGAACTAAAAAGCTCCATAACAAACTAATAAACCACAAAAATATTCGGAATAAAGTTTTCGCAGGAGATAGCAAATAATTAGAATTTGAATTAGAGTTTTTCGGTTCTGTACAGATGGCCTGGACGTCATCAATAGCTATTTGTCGGAAAACTCCAACATCCGATTTTGAAAAAAACTCCATAAGTTGCGCATGATATGCACCAAAAAATTGCCCTACTGCCCTATTTCCTTGATTACTTGCAACAATGTAACCATTTTGATCAATGAGGGCGCACGTAAAGGTATTGTTACTCAGGCATTTAAGTCCAAGTGAATCAGTGACGTTGAACATTATTTCCTTTAACAGTTCCGAATTCATATCGGTTCCAGTAACTAAAAATAGATAAGAAATGTGTTTTTCTTAATAAAAAAAAGTCTTTTTATAATACACACACACACACACACACACACACACACACACACACACACACACACACACACACACACACACTCGCACACACACAGGTATAAAAGCAAATTTCTTCAATTTTTTTTTCCGCCAAAATTATTATATTTTTAATATTTAGAAATACACAAATATAATTTTGTTTATCTTTTCTTGTCAATCTGACAGTAATTAAATAAAATAAATTTTCAGAAAAAGTTCTCGAATATATTTCAAAGTTTATTATATGTGACCTTATATAGCTGGAGTAGCATGCCTTTGAGAATTTGAAATTATGTAAAATTGTATTTTAAGCCAAGAATAAAACTCCATTATGTAGAAAAACTTGAATATTCGAGCCTTTGATATTAACACTTTGAATTTCTGATCTATACTTGCAAGACCAGAAATTAATATGTACTACATATTCAGGATTTGTAAACATTTCAGGCCTACTCAGGTCTCTATGAGCTTGGTACAGTGTCCGTTTTTTGAAAAAATGTTTCCAGAAATCTTTAAATTCGTCACAAAATAAAAGTTAAAGTTCTGTTACCGTAGTATTCACTTGCTCCGTACGAACAAACTTGTATTTAACAATCTCATTGACAGTATTCCTTTTTTTCAAAAACGGATTTCATGACCACCACCACGTACTTATTTCCAATTAAGTCTTAATCTCTGCATAGCCTTAATGACAAGTATCACACTATAGATTATTGCAAATCTTTGACTTACAAAGGTCACAAGCCACCAATTTTAAAACGTTTTATTTTTATTAAAAATTTTAAAAGGTTACAAGCAACCAATTTTAAAACGTCTATATCCCTTTCACCATTATTCTGCAAAATCTTAAACTCATTTATTCTTTCTACTATAAGACAAAACTTATTCTGTCTTTCACATAATAATGATAATAGTAAAATGTTTAGTCTGACAGATATAATGTGTAGTCTGGCAGATATAATGTGTAATCTGGCTAATATAATGTGTAGTCTGGCAGATAAAATGTGTAGTCTGACAGATATAATGTGTAGTCTGACTGATAATATGTTAAGTTTGATAGATAATATATGTAGACTCTTTTTGACAAGCTTATTGTGCCTTTCACACAGAAGCTTTAACCTTACAAGCTTATTGTGCCTTTCCCACAGAAGCTTTAACCTTACAAGCTTATTGTGCCTTTCCCACAGAAGCTTTAATCTGACAAGCTTATTGTGCCTCTCACCCAGATAGGTCTTATGGTATTTTACGGGCGGTTCACGTTATTTACAAGTTTGTTTGAATAAACAAACTTGTAAATAACGTGTAACTAGACGACGCGTTTTTAGAGAAGAATCTGGCATGCAAACTTTTTTAATGAATCAGATAATAACCTTTTCTATTTTTCCCCCCCTTTTTTGTCAATTATCATGAAATTGATACATGTCTTAAAAGTTTTTTTTAATATCACTATTCTTTTCTTTTCCAACAGTTGTTCTGCTGTTCAAAACTTTCAAAAATTATTGTAAAAAATTTCCAAGTTTTTTAACCAATTAACATATATTTTTATAATCAAGTATTCGGAAAATTGTGGTTAAAAGCAAAAAGAGGTTAAAATCAAAATTTGTAAAAGTTCGCTATTATATAATTGCTTATATACTTTTTATCTATTTATAAAGTTTATAATATGATAAAATTTCAAAAATTTTTGCATCTTAATAGAATTGTAAATCAATTCATGGACACGATCAACTTTAAAATAAAAATTAAACCACACACACACACACACACACACACACACACACACACACACACACACACACACACACACACACACACACACTCTCACACACACACACACACACACACACACACACACACACATACACGCACATGTTATTATTATTATTACTATAAATGAAAAATCTTATCAATTTCTAAAAAAAGAATGAACAAACCTGCCATCAATACTCGGCCTTCAACCTTATCTATCCATGAAGAAGCTTTAGCTTTGATGTAAACAATTTCATCGTTAAAAATTTCTCGAGTTGGAGTAGACAAAATAATAGTAGCTTTAGGCAAAGCAACAGCTTCCTCGAAAATAGAAACTCGCAACAAGTCACGTTGACGAGAAATATCAGTAGAGTTGATAAAAAAATAGCTAAAAAATACTTGTGGAATTTATTCGTATAGAAGTCTGCTAAATAAGTTTATTATCAACTCATTAAATAAGTTTATAAACTCATTAAAATCATTAAAATCTTTTTATTATATTCTGTAACAATTACGTTCTTTTAAATATTATCTTTTAAAATGATTACTATGTATGAGGAGGGCAAAAAAAAAAACGCTACACTCAATTTTTTGATAAAAAAAACCCACCAAAAAGTGTTTTAAACTCATATAATAAAAGTAATTCAGGACAATTTTTAAAGAAATTTATACAAGATTATTGTTTATTACATAAAAAGAAATTAGGGTTTGTTAAGTATTTTTCAAGTTTTAGCTGTATTAGTACATAACTAGCCATCCTTTATTTCTAATGACTTCTGCATATTTAGAAGGCATACTATCTACAAGTCTTATTAATAAGTCATTTAATAAAGCATTCAAACCAGCAAGTAAAATTTGGAACAATTCCTCATCATTTGTTGCCCTACAATCTTGCAATTTTCTATCCAATATAGACCAAAGATTTTCTATTGGATTTAAATCAGGAAACTATGCTAGCTAAGACATAACTGGTATCAATAACCATTCCATATACTTATATACTTAAAATCGAGAAAAAATGTTAGTGTGGATTTTTTTTCCACCCCACTGTATATATTTATGTCTTTAAGTCTTATGTCTTTATTTACTAACAATCTTTTTTTTAGGTTTAGAATATAAATATAAAAAATCTATTAATTAAAAAAGACAATAGTAAATATCGAAATGTATTAAATATTGTCATTTTTAAAACTAGAGGAACGGTTAGCTTTATTTAGCAAGGGTGGACGCAGAATTTTTTAATGTTTCTAATCTGAGACTTTTATATGTAGTAAAAACTCCAAATTTCAGTATGTTCCCAGCTAGTATACTTAAGTTGAGCCAACATATGTAAATACATTGCGAACGTCGCTGTTTTCTCCAATGCCAATACAACGTTAATCCAATGTTAGTTTTATCGTACTTATATTAATGAAAACCTAAATAAGGACGTAATTAAAAATAGTTAGAAAAATTACATCGGTCTAACGTATGTAAAAACACCACAAAAGTTGGTTGTTTTTCCGATCTAAAACCAACGTTGATTTAATGTATATGAATCAACATTGACCTAATGTGTATAACACCATATTGACCCAATGTGTATGGATTAACGTTGAATTATTTACATTGGATCAACGCTGTTCCATATATATTATAATAAGGTTGGATTATATACAGTGGATTAACGTTGTGTTTGCATCGATATAAAGCAGATATACAAATTTATATTTGTACAATTTTTAAAAATTGTTTTTTCTTTTAAATATTTCAGTTGATTATGGAAATATATTTTGCTAATAAATTTTTGTTTTTCTTATATAACAAAATATCAAGCCACAAGCAAAACAAACATGAATAATTCCTTTTTAATTTGATGCATCTAAGGACGTATTACTAGATAGACGTTTAACCCATTGTTATAGATCTGAGGCGCCGCGAGTAAACAAAAACCTACGTGAGCTATAATTTTTAGCGTCATTATTGCTGAATAATTTATAAAAGTAAACCGACGTTTTTCCGATAATTTCGCTTTTCTAACTACTTTATTTAAAAAGTACAATTACCTATAAAACTCAATTTTTTTTTTTAAATTAATGCATTGTAATTAATCAGAAATAGCTCATGTTTTAAAATGTCAAGTTTGATACATGAGCGCTTTTTAATAAGAACTTATTATTAATAAAACTTAGCCGTCAAAAATCATATTTTTGTAAAAAAGTGATATTTATTTTGCAAGAATGAATACTGCAAAGTGAAACGAATTTTCTAGATGTTGTAGGTAAAACTATAGATTATATATAGATCGAACTATAAATTACTCGTGGTCTCTATTCCCTACACATAGTTTTCACTATTATTTTAAGTATTTAAATTTCTCATTTTTGTTGGAAATTTTGTCTCACTTACAATTTTGTTTTAATATTTTTCTGTGATTAACTTTTTTTTTTTCATGTAAAGATTCTGCTTGAGTTTATAGATCATATAATAAAAAGGTTTTGTTTATTTAAAAACTTTTAAAGTTTTTAGGTGTTATGGAATGTTTAAATATTTCTTAGGCTAAGCGAGACGTTATTTTGACGCAAAATCAAATTAAAATATTCTCAAGTTAAAAATAGTTAACATCTGTTCTCTATCGTTTTGCTATTGTTATTTGTAACAATGAATAGCGCGGAGATATCTTGGCTTTTAAACAATTCATCTAATAATACGTCCTTGGATGCATTAAGCATATATACATTAGTTATAATAATCTAGATTAATGTTTATACTTATATAAATTACGTTTTATCTATTACATTAATTAGGTAACCTAATTAGTAGTATGAAATTTACCTAGTGCAATATATAAGTTTCATGATGCAAAAAAGAGAACAAAAAATATAAAAGAAACCTTTTGACAAACCCAAATTTAGTAAGTTGATATATATTCAGCAGATGCTTGAATATTGCAATTTTCAACGCAACACTGTCTTCATACCGTCGTATTTAACTACGAACACAATGAGCTAAGGAGTTAAATACCAAGAGTGTGTTAAGGAGTTACAAAGCTGCAAAAGTATTTTTTAGCAGAGCTTTGATAGACAAACAAAATGCATCTTTTACAAGGATGTACAATACTGACTCAACTTCTAGGTTTTAATTTCAATTTAATTTTACAAGACTATCTAATGTGTTCACATTTTCAAAAAATTCCATTTTTTATTTAATTTTAAATACAATGCTCTATACAATCTTTATTTTTCCTGTGAGAGCTTTAAATAAGTGAAACATATACACCTCATATATGTAATGACTGGAGAACATCCATATTTAAGGAAAGTTAAATTTTACGCTCATCACGCAAACAATATTTTTAACTGAATAGCGTAACAGTCATCAGTCCTTAATAATACTAATTTAAAAGCCGTTTCAATATAAACCATATTAAAGCTGTTAAAAAGATAATCCAAAGATAACGTCAAAAAAAAAAACTATTCTGTTGTTTTTAAATTTTCATTAAAAGTAATCTTTAACTGGTACCCTATATTTTCTAACTTTTTACCTGTTTAATGATGCTGCGGATTGTTTTAATTTTAAAATTGTTTAATATTCCCATTTATTAAGATTCCCCTGTTTATTAGATTTTCTAATTAAATATTTCTGACCCTCTTATTTATTAAGATTACCCGTTTAATTGGCAGGTGAGAGTATAAACTTATTCGTTATATTTTGAACTGACATCTTCGACCTTCATCAGAATTTAAGAAATGCTAATATAAAAATCAGAAACACAAACTTAAATAAAAACCAATATGGTTTTCAAGCACAGCAACCAATGGAGCATGCTATCGCAGAACTCACCCTAGGATTAGTAAATCAATCTATGAAAAAAAGGTCGTATTAGATGTTTTTGCAGACTTGTCAAAACCCAGTAAGCACAAGACACATTTTAGACACTTATAGACGTATAAAACTAGTCTAGGTAAAGACGCACTTTTATAGACGTTTATCAAGACATCTTTTAGACGTCTTTTATGAATGCGATTTTAAAATGACGTTTAAAAGGCGTCTTTTTAAAGTTTAAAAAGACGTTTAAAAGACGCATAATAAATAGTCTAAAAGACGCATTAAAAGACGTCTAGATCAAGGCTAAAAGACGTCTTTTCTGAGACCTGTTTATAAATATGTCATTATGACTTCTTTTTGACGGCTTTGTCATTACGCGTTAAGTAGATGTCGTTTATTCAAAGTAAAAACATAGTTTTTATTATTTTCAATAATTTGTTTAAGTTTTAAGTGTAAATTACTTTAAATTAAATTACTTTTTTACACAATTGCTAAAATTGTTGTCACAGGAATCACTAAAATAATTGCTATAATATTAATATATCTTTTTTTTATTAATAATTATTTTGCTTTTTTAATAGATATTTTAATAGATCATGATAATAAGTGAAAATGGCAAGAATAATATATAAGTTAAATATCAGTATTTTTAGTTTTTATACACCCACAAGCCATATGATAATTTAAGTATTCGGTCAAAAATCAGCTAGGTAAAATGTATGTTAAATATTATTAAATCAAAAAGGTCAGTTTGAAATGTTTTAAATACTGTTTTGATATCTAGTTAGTGTTATTTATTATTTTCATCTATGATGCATCAACCGTTGGTGGTGATTACAGCAATATTATTTTGAATACTGGTTCCTATGTATATTTAGTATGTTCGAAATTATAACAATATATGATGTTATAAATACAATGAATATATACCACATACTACGCGAGATTGTTACGTCATGTACTTAAATTCATCTTGAAAAATACGTCTAAAATCCGTCTAAAACGCGTTTTTATAAAGACGTCTTCATTTAGACGTCTTTTAGCCTTATGATCTAGACGTCTACAAGTGCGCCTTTTAGACCTCCTTAAAAACATCTTTAAAATGTCTTTTAAACGTCTTTGTGCTTACTGGGAAGCGTTTGAAACAATAGATCATGCAATCCTACTTTAAAAAAAAAGAAAAAATATGGATTAAAAACCAAAAACTGCAATGGTTCAAAATTTACCTGTATAACAGACAACAGCGTGTTATTACAAATGATAATTAACACATTAAACTACTAAAATTAACATGTGGTATTCCTAATGGCTCCATTCTTGCTCCTCTTTTGTTCTTAATCTATATTTAACAACCTTCCATTAATTTTTAACAAAATTTAATTTATAATGTTTGCAGACAATTCAAATCTATTTTATTCTTCAACAAACATCATAGATTTGTATGATAATATGAGCATAGAACTCCAAAAACTAAATATACCAGCATATATTGTTTTAGTGGATTTACAGGGGACCTATATATTCATTTTTTAACGGTTTGTTTGAGTTTTTCTCATTAATTACTTAGTTGACAATTAATGACAGCTGCTACAAACGGAAAGCCAATAACTTTCCAAAATATTAATAGAGCGTAGTCATTGGTTAGCCACTTTTGGCGACTGATAGTAATGGTCCACAAAGTAACCGATAAGTAAAAAGACAGCGGTCTTCTAAAAATGTCTATATAGGTTCGCTGAAATTCTGCTATAGAATGTTTACTTGGATATATGGTCTAAAATAAATAAGTTTTCATTCAAATCAGGTAAAAAAAACACTACCAAATTTTCTACCCTCGCTAAAAATTGGAAAATATAAGAACTTGTGAAACTAAACTTTTAGGAGTTGTAATTGATGTAACTATATCTTGGAAAGCTCACATAAATGCTTTAAACACTAAATTATCAAAAAACATAGGTCTACTCTATAAGGCAAAACCTATGCTGTTGTAAAGTAATTTAAAACTTATTTATTTATCTTTTATGCATAGCTACCTCATATATGCGAATATAGCTTGGGCAAGTACGCATATAACCAAAATGGAAGTTTTATATTGACGTCAGAAACATGCTTTAACCCAGTGGATATGCGTCGTCCAAGGGATGTTTGTCGAATATCTGACAGACGTCTGGACGTCCGTTATTGAATGTAGTTGAAAAAATTAACTTTAGTGCACTTAATTTTTTTTTTAAAGTTGATTTTTATTTACAATTATGAATTCATTGGTATTAAAAGCTAACAAAGCCAAACACTTATCTAAGTTTACCTTGACAAATGCTAACAAAGCCAATCACTTTCTCTATGTTTTACCTTTACAAAGCAAAGCTTTGTAATTATCATAAATAGTCATAAAAAAATATCTTTTTTTAAGAATTTCCGATATGAATGCTTTTATTTCAATATATATACGCACAAAAAAGAACATTTTATTTTATTTTATTTTGTTAATGATTAACAAAATAAAACATAAAATAAACATGTTTAAACTTATATTTTAAAGCAGTATGTTTTTTTTTTTCTTTTTTTTTTAATTTATAATAAAATTTAAAATATTCTTTAATAAAATTAAAAATATGGTACATAAACTGCTTATCAAGCAAAGAAAGAATCTAGAAATGGAGGGCTAACCTTAGGCAACATGACAAATATCATATGGAGTACTAAGTCCTGTAGCTTACCTTCTCGTTGGTGCACTTCATTAATAAGTTAGTCGAGTATATAATGTCTAACTTATGAACAAAAAAAACCAAGGCATCATTTTTAATAAACTTACACTCTTTTGACTCTTTTAAAAGGCTGAAAGATATTGCATTATTTCTTTCCCATTGCTTTTCTCTCCTCGCCACCTCTTTACTCCATCTTTACAGACTAGAGGGGTGGCATTTAAATATAGGCATGACCCATAAAAATCCTGCATCCGCCCTTTATCAAGGAGGTATAACAGACTAGCTGGAGGGAGAACGAAACCTTTTTTTTTTTTTTTTTTCTTTTTTGTGGTTCAGTTTATTAATTCAATTCTAATTAAAAAATTTATAATTAATTCAAAAAACACAACAAAAAAATAACAATAAACTCATAACAATGTTTACGAATTTTTATAAACTTCTATCTTTTATTTGCAACGCAAAAATTTTATTTGCAAAATTGTCGATGACGTTTTGAAACAATATTATTAGTTGTTTTTTTTTTAAGTGGAATGTGACTGTTTAACTTTAAATTATGATAATTACGCAGTGATTAATTGAAAATTATGTTACTAAAAAGACTGTTCTTTGAAAAATGTTTATTTAATTTATAACTTATACAATACAGCTAAGTACTAATATTTTAATTTATTTATGTAATATTTCAGTCTGAATAGTTCAGACCGTCATCAGACGTAAAATTAAATACAATAAAAATCTCACAAAAAAAAAAAAAAAAAAAAAAAAAAAAAAAAAAAAAACGTATGTAAAAAACCGTTATAGAAGACATTACAAAGATGAGCTGACGTAACGTAAACAACTATTTTGAAATTTCTATGATTTTTTAAAAAAGAGGTCGCCAGCTATTTGACGCAATTTTAATACCGTTGTCTTTGTTCAAAAGCAGTGGGAAGTGTCTTATTTCGTAATTTGTTTGGGCATAATTAATTTCAAGTGACTCTCTTATTTTCCTTTCATGGTAGTTAGACTTGAATGCGATCGTATTTGGGTGCATCCAATTAAATATACCGTGGCAGTTCTTGCAGTGTTCTGTGGCTCCGGAAGCATGCCAATTACCTTTCATACTGTTTATCTGATGCTCAATACTTCTTTGTATAATTTTCTTTTTTGTTTCTCCAATATAAACGCCACCGCATGAACACGTAAGCTTATACACACCCGGCTTGCTATTTGGCAATAGTTTGGATTTGTTATTACACAAAATTCTTTTTAAAGTTGGTGGTGTTGTAAATATAACTTTAGCGCCATATATCTTGAGCTCTTTCCTTAATTTTGATCCTATTCTTGGAATCCATGGGAGTTTTATTGTTATGTTACCATTTTTTGTTTGATCTGCAACTACACCAACAGGATTATTTTTGATTTTGAGATAATTTTTTGTTATAAGCTCTAATTCAGATTTTTTATGGCCATTTTCGACAAACATATTTATTATAAATTGTACTTCATCTTGAAGGTATTTTGGAGAACAAATTTTTGAGGCTCTTGATATAAAACTTTTGAAGACTCCAGATGTTATTGCAGGATTAATGTTAGAATTCGGTTTTATTTGTATATTCGTAATTGCGTAAATGAAATTCAAGTCTCGTTTGATGTGATAGCATTGTACCCCTCGATTCCAATTGACAGAGCAATACCTGTAATTATTGATATACTCAACAATGATAAAGAAGATCTTGCGAATAGAACTAAATTAACTCTTACTGATATTCACCAACTAATTGAACTCTGTCTAAGCCAATGCTACTTTTTATATAAAAACGTGATTAGAACTATACCGAATTCTGGCCCTATTGGACTATCACTAATGGTCGTTGTTGCAAAGGCATTTTTGCAACATTTAGAAACAAAAACTTTGAGAGTTGCAGAAATAAATTTTTTTTCACCAAAGTCATTCAAACGCTATGTAGACGACAGCCATGCGAGATTTGATTCATTAGAAAAACACGACAAATTTTTGGAATTGTTAAATCAACAAGATCCTGCAATTCAATACACATCGGAAATAGAAAACGAAAGGAAAGAACTAAACTTTTTAGATATAACAATAATAAATACAAACAATTTCCACTATGATTTCAAAATCCATCGAAAACCCGCAATTACGAATATACAAATAAAACCGAATTCTAACATTAATCCTGCAATAACATCTGGAGTCTTCAAAAGTTTTATATCAAGAGCCTCAAAAATTTGTTCTCCAAAATACCTTCAAGATGAAGTACAATTTATAATAAATATGTTTGTCGAAAATGGCCATAAAAAATCTGAATTAGAGCTTATAACAAAAAATTATCTCAAAATCAAAAATAATCCTGTTGGTGTAGTTGCAGATCAAACAAAAAATGGTAACATAACAATAAAACTCCCATGGATTCCAAGAATAGGATCAAAATTAAGGAAAGAGCTCAAGATATATGGCGCTAAAGTTATATTTACAACACCACCAACTTTAAAAAGAATTTTGTGTAATAACAAATCCAAACTATTGCCAAATAGCAAGCCGGGTGTGTATAAGCTTACGTGTTCATGCGGTGGCGTTTATATTGGAGAAACAAAAAAGAAAATTATACAAAGAAGTATTGAGCATCAGATAAACAGTATGAAAGGTAATTGGCATGCTTCCGGCAGTATGAAAGGTAATTGGCATGCTTTTTTTTTTTTTTTTTGGTGAGATTTTTATTGTATTTAATTTTACGTCTGATGACGGTCTGAACTATTCAGACTGAAATATTACATATATAAATTAAAATGTTAGTACTTAGCTGTATTGTATGTGTTATAAATTAAATAAATAAATTATCAAGTACTACAAGAAATGTCATTAAAACAATTTGAAAAATGTTGTATTTTTACATTGTTTTTATTCAAGATATATTATAACACTTTGAGTTAAATAACTTTTTTGTTTGTTTATTGAACTCTTAATTAAGTTAATTTTTCGAAAGCAAATTTGATTTCATAAATTTGTAATTTAACTTTTTTTATTTTATTTTTTAAGTTACCCAAAGTTTAATTTTCAAAGAAAACATTTTGTTCGGCCACTTATCTTTCTGATTTTTCTTAAAAAGGTTTTCTGAAAGTGTTATATATTTTATAATAAAGAAAAACGTTATTACCGTGTATACCCTCCTCTTGTTCCAACAAATAAAGATGTAAAATCTGGATCAAGAGGTTGTTTTTCTGCTAGATATTCGTACCAACTTTCATTTACATGTTTAAAAACTAATGAAGCACTAACTAGCAAATTTGAAACTAAATTTTCCTCACAGCTTTCAGTTATTTGCTCAATAGTACTATAGCTTTTTAGAAAGTCTTGTAGTTCATTTGTATTTGGATATACTTTGACGTCTACAGTAGCATCATTACGACTGATCGCTATATTACAAAAATCCCATGGCGGAATATCAACATATGTATAAAGTATGTTTTGGGTCCCATTTTCAGTTATATTTGGAGTTAACATTGCATCTAAACCGCGTGCAAAATGGTCATTACATAATGTCCTGCTTAATTCAATATAATTAATATCAACGTCACTCATTGCAAGAGATGCAAATAAATTAGTTCCATTGATCGGACTAAAGTAATAAGTAATATTATTTTCAACAATCATTCGGTAATTTTCAGATACCCAATAAGTTGTAAAACTTGATGAACCATTTTCTCCTTTTAACATTCTCTCCTTTAAATTCTTTGCATCGTTTTTGTTCACGCTAAATTCTATATCTTCAAAATAAACATTAGGTGGAAGGGGGAGGTATTCATTTTGAATTTTATTTTTGGGATGTAGAATAACAAATCCGTTATTATTTATAATAATGGTGTGACTAAAATAACCCAGTTCATAAACAGGGACTTTTTGTTTTAAGCTTCGTATAAGCATATCCACTCCTACGACACCACTAAGATTTCCATTAATAAAAACACCAACCGACATTGTTAATACCATTCCCGCTCCAGTGCTGTCTAAGTATATCGGAGATACTTTTGGTTTTAATTCGGCGTTGTAAGGACCGATTGGACGGCTTATTACTTCCATATATTTAATGACTGTGTCCCAAATATTACCAAGAGTTTCAATTTTATAAAAGTGACCACGATTGTTACAAGCCATTTCCTTTAAAACACGATCTACTGGATTTTTAGTTCTTCCAACAAGGTAGGTAAATACACGTACACTCTTGTCACTATTCCATTTATCAAAAACACTTTTGGCAGTAGATGAATAACCACCTTCAATACTATCACTTAGTAACATGATTAGTTTGTTACAACCAGCTGAATAAGTTCGATTGTATTTTGCACCTATTGTGTGTATTATATTTATATAATATATAATTATAATCTTATTTGTTATGCACACACACACACACACACACACACACACGTATATATATATATATATATATATATATATATATATATATATATATATATATATATATATATATATATATATATATATATATATATATATATATATATATATATACATATATATATATATATATATATATATATATATATATATACATATATACATATATATATATATATATATATATATATATATATATATATATATATATATATATATATATATATATATATATATATAAGATTTTTTTATAAAAAATGAAACTGTTGAACTGTTTGTTTTACTTCAAGTTGTACTTATAGTAATTGTAGTTAGAAGAATTGTACTTAAATTAGTTGTATTTAGGGTACTTGTCCTTAGAAGTTGTACTAAGAGAAGTTTTACTTAAAGAAGTTGTGAAAAAAGGATTTTTTTTATGTTTTAGTAATGACACTTTTAGGCATTGTAAATAAAATTTTTAAAAACTCCAAATTTAGGAACTTTCTTGTTTTTATAAAATAAGGATGTTTTGTAAAACATTTTGGTGATTAGAGCCTAGGACCAAATATATGTTAGGGTAATGACTTTATAAAAAGTTTAAATTTACTTTTTATACGTTTTTATAGGTTAAAATTGATTGACAGGTTTCAATTAATATTCCCTTAGTCTTCACAAATTGTGACTTTATAAAATTCCCCACATTTGGGAGGGTCACATAGTCGAAAACTAAAATATCTTAAATGAAATTTAAAACCTGTCAATAAATTCAAATGTTTTCAATAATATTACGTATTTTTCTTTGTTTAGGTTTGCATTAATAAGTTAGACATTCTTAAAACTGTGACGGTTATCTCTATTTTAATACAAAAGGTCAAACGTACTCATAGATACTCTTCTTCAAACTCATTAAAGATAATTCTCAGCATAACTTAAAAAATAATGAAGATAATGATATATATTTAAATTTGAAATTTCTAATCTTGCAAAGTTTTTTATTCATGTATAAGATTTAAATATATGTAATTTATTTGATGTTACTTGATGTTAAGTGTAGTAAAATTAACCAAAAAAGTTTACAATAACACTGTGCTACACAATTTCTGCAATTTTCAAGATGTTAAATAATTTTATAAACATTAATGCAACTGATTTCAAGTATGTAGTCAAAATATTTCTAGCACATCAGAACTGATCATATTGCTATTTGTCATGCAGCTACTTTTAAAACTGTAGCTGTAGTTTTTCACCTTAGATGGTTCTGAATTTGATTTCACAGCACATTTTGGTTGATAAAAATATTAGAATCTGCTGACGTCATTGACTACTAATGCAAGTCAATAGATTGTAAGTCTACAGATGTAAGTGTAAAGGTTATATGAGGAGCTTGGCTGTCATCAGCCAAGCTCCTCATATAACCAAAACTAATGAATGGCGTCTGTTCATAGATGCCTCAAAGACAAGCATCAAGACAATCCTTCTTCACAATGACAACTCAAAGCCTTCAGTGCCAATATTCTATGCTTCAGATATAAAAGAAATCTCATCCTATAGGATTCTTGTAGGATTTGTAAGATCAGTCGTCTAGTGTATGCTTCAGATATAAAAGAATAATATGAGAGCGATGAAAAAATATTTGCGTTAATCAACTATAGAAAATTTGGCTGAAATATTTTTTTCCGCTTTAACGTTATTGGACTAGTGATAAGCATGCAAAGTGGTTACACAAAATACTGCTATAAGCAGCATTGTTCACAGAAAAAGTTTTCGGTGAGATCTGAAAATGTTCCAGGGACGTATTGTAAAGCACAGTTCACTAGCATAGCCAGACAAAGGTTTCTCCCACCTCTTCACATCAAGTTGGAATTAATAAAGAACTTTGTTAAACCTCTTTAAGGCAACTCGGATGTTTTTCAGTACCTCAAACATTTCCAAGAAATTTCTAAGGATGAGTGATGCCAAGAAATTTCTAAGGGTGAGTGATGCCAAAATCATAAAAGGAGTCTTTATAGGACCTCAAATTAGAGATGTTATAATGAATGACTCCATGTTTACATCAAAGCTGGCTGATTTGAAACAGACAGCTTGGATCTCATTCAAGGCCGTCATTGATAGGTTTCTTAGAAATAGAAAATCGGACGACTACTGAAATCATTGGAGCAAATCTATCTCTTAAGATGCATTTTCTGCATTTTCATATTGACTTCTTTCCTGACAATTCCAGGGACGTAAGCGACAAGCGCGGAGAATGTTTTCACGAGAACATTTTGGTAATGGAACATCGATATTAAAAAAAATATATTTTTCAGTTATGTGGTTGATTTTTTTTGGTTTTTGCTGAAAGACAGCAGTTCTGCACAGAAAGGAAAACCAAGAACTAATCTCCACTTTCCCACTTCTGTAAGAAAATATCAAGACAGTGACTTGCTAATTTGGCAAAAGAAACAACCTTCTGGATAAAATGTTTTATTGAATACTATATAGTAGGACTAAATTTTCAGACTGAACTAACTTCATTTCTGGACGTACAACAGACATTCCAAAAATATCTGTAATCAGAACATTACATATGATAAACGCCACACTCTGTTGCTTAAGTTGTAGAAATTTTGTGTTGTTGTTGCACAATGTAATGGATCATATGATATGATATTCAACCAATGAAAAACTGTTTAAAAAAAGACGCTACCATAAACAGGAAAACATTAACTAAACATTTTTTAATAAAATTCAGGAATAAAGGGTTTTATGAAAAATTCATTATTTTTGTCATAATTCTAATTACTACAAAGTTTATCTTTTAGGCTTTTTTGTTCGAACTTATGGGTTTCCCAAAAATAAATGTATATAATTATTTCTTCTAATCATAATATGAATTTAAGCTGAGTTGTATTACCAATTTTGACGTAGAATTATAAATTAGCAAGTTATGAATTAAAATTTTACGAATTATAAATTAGCAAGTTATGAATTAAAGATTTACGATGCTAATAAAGTTCTGAATTTTGTAGTAAATATTACTTTAATGAAGAATGTAAAATGGATGTGTTTATTTACGTTAAATGGCAGAAAATTACAAAAACCAATATTAGTCTAAACTTGATGTAAGTATTTCTAATTACAGTTTTTAACTGATTTTTATTTATATTTAAAATTTATAAGTAAATAATATACGGTAGATTTGGGAATTATGAGCATCCTAATAATATGAGCATACCAAAAAAATTCTAAAAGTAAGCAATGAAGTTCAAGTTACTTTGTATTTTTTTCAATCGACTTTTATGTAAAGATAATAGCGAGCAGTATAATTAGTGTAAATTTATACGCAGTAATTAGCGGCTCTACTCTAATTAAAACTCTATTCAGTTTTTTGCTTTGTTAAAGTATTAAAATTACACATAAAAGATTCTTTAATGCGGTATTTTGATGTTTAAATATTAAAATTTAACTTCTCATAAAGTAAAAAATGCTAGCTAGAAATCCTTTTCACTTTTGTTTTGAAAACAATGCATAGAAACATTTATTTTCGACTTAATTGAAAGATAAAGTTTTATCATTTTAAAATATAAAAGTAAAATGATTTGCAGTTTTAAAACAGTTTCAATATTTAGAAAAATTGAACCGTTTAAAGATGAAAACTTTAAAGAAAAAAAAACATTAAGTATTGATCTATTGATTCAATGAAATTTTTGGTTCATCTGAACGCTTAAAAATAATTGTTATTATATTTATATTTTCGGCTTCCGTTCATTTTTAACACATCTAGTGATGTAAGAAATTGCTAAATTATATAATTTGGTCTAAATAAAAAATCGTAAAAAATTAACAACACTTATATGTATACAATTGTATACACATATATAAGTTGTTATATGTGTGTGTATATGAACACATTTATAAGTTGTTATATGTGTGTGTATATGAACACATATATATGTTGTTATATGTGTGTGTATATGAACACATATATATGTTGTTATATGTGTGTGTATATGAACACATATATATGTTGTTATATTTGTGTGTATATGAACACATATATATGTTGTTTTAAAGGATAACATCTTGTGTGAGAGTATATTTATATATTATTTTAAAACATCAAAAATACAATTTCTCTCAACACTTATAATTTTTTTATTATTATAGAAATTTTCGCTGGATTTTAGATACCAGCTTCTTCAGCTTGTTAAATGTTACAGTAATTAGTAAACCATTATAATTTAAATTAAAACGTTGCTATTGACGTCAGCGGTTGAATGGCTTCTTTTTCGCTGAAATTTAAAAAATGGCGTCCAAAACTTAGTTTTTACGTATTGACCCTCATCGAGATTAATCCCGCCATTTTTTGCATAACACATGTTTTTTTGTATTTCTAGGGTTTCCCTAACTTTTCTTTCAAATTTTTTATTTTCATCTTTCAATGTTTTTGTTTGTTCCCAAATAATTTCTTTTTTGCAAAATGTTTTATGCAGAGCTAATGCAGATTGATGCTGCTTATTTTCATCAATGCTTTTTTGGTGTTGATGCATTCTTGTGTTTACTTTCTTTTTTGTTTCGCCTACATACACTTTTGAACAGTTGCATTTGATTATATATGTTCCTGGTTGACTGTTATTAGGTAATTTTGATTTATTCTTTGATGTTAACAGGGATCTTAAGTTTGGGTTTGATTTGAATACCGCTCTGTAACCAGCTTTTCGGAATATTTTCCTAAGTTTTGGCGAGAGACCGGGTACCCATGGTAAGGAAACTACAGGATAATTATTGATTTCAGATGGAATTGTAATTTTATTTTGTCTTTTGTGTTGAAACTGATGCGCAATATTCATCATTTGAGTTTTATCGTAACCATTTTCAATAAACACGTCGATTAGAAAATTTATTTCATTTTGCAAGTAAGACTTATTACAGATTGAGTAAGCTCGGTGAAGAAATCCTTTAAAAATAGAGTTCAAGATATTTGGATCATGATTTGAGTGTGGCTTAATTTGAATGTTAGTGATAGCATCTTTCCGATACACTTTGTATTCATACTTTCCTGTTTTTTTATTCATAATTTGTATATCCAGATAATTTAGTGTTCCTAACTCGTTTTCAACTTCAATTGTATACTGGATGGAAGGATGTTGTATACAATTGAAGTTGAAAACGAGTTAGGAACGTCAATAGCAACGTTTTAATTTAAATTATAACGGTTTACTAATTACTGTAACATTTAACAAGCTGAAGAAGCTGGTATCTAAAATCCAGCGAAAATTTCTATAATAATAAAAAAATTATAAGTGTTGAGAGAAATCGTATTTTTGATGTTTTAAAATAATATATATGTTGTTATATGTGTGTGTATATGAACACATATATATGTTGTTATATGTGTGTGTATATGAACACATATATATGTTGTTATATGTGTGTGTATATGAACACATATATAAGTTGTTATATGTGTGTGTATATGAACACATATATAAGTTGTTATATGTGTGTGTATATGAACGTTTGTGTATGAAAATATCCATTCAATAACCTGAATATAAGACTCAATAACCTGAATATAAGACATTAAATGCTTTTTCGATTGCGTTTGGAATATTGAGAACGTCTTTTGGAACTCCAATATTGTCAATTGCTTTCTTAATTCTTTCTTTATTAAACTTTGTTGCTTGAATTAGATAATCTATGTTGCATTGGTTGATAACACTTGAATCATTTCCGGCGGAAATTACATTAAAATAATCATTTTCTTCCAACGTATCAATAATTGATTTTGCTGCTATCGTTGCAATTGCTATGAAAAAATATTTATATATATTAGAAGAATAACTTATTTGCGGATAATTGTAAAAACTTCTCTTTTTGAGAGGATTTTGGTTATAGTTGTTTTTACTTCAGTTTTTTAAACCACTAGATTCCAGTAGATTGACATGAAATTGTATTTTTGTTTTTAATTTCTCGATCTTTTTTAAAACTTAAAACGTTCTAATAAAAATAAGGGGGTTTTGAACTTTATAAAGTATGTTTTGAGCGAAAAAATAAATCCTGATGAAATTTGAAATCTAAATAGTAACTCAGTAATAGTAGCAGTTTTTACCGTGAATTTATGGCAATCAAGAAATCACTGTACTCCAGTAATTCCAACATGTACAAAAAAATTGAAAAGACCCATTTTTTTAAGGAACACAAATCAGTTACTTGCATAGATAGCTAAGTACAGTAAACAAAACTTCTTTCAAAAAAGTTTTAACTGCACTTAAACTGACATTTTTTGACATATTAAAACCTATTCAAGTAACGTTAGTAAGATCATCTTAGGTGTTCCTCAGTGTTTTGAATTTTCCATATCTTTTATCTTATTATCTCCTTCATTCTACTAAAAACAGCACAATTTGGAAGGTCATGTTTTACTTCGAACTACTTCACAAGTGATCGGTCTTTCAAGTGCATTTCCTCTTGTTACAAATTATATGCTAGTACTGTCACAAACGACAGATTTTTCTTTTAACTTACAAGAAACATTTCAGTCAACGACATTCGGGTTCTTTAAAGAAAAAAAGAGAGGAGATTTTAAACGATTGTTTATTTGTTATAATCAGGGCGGTGGAGTGGGAGTCGAAGTCGCGACATTTTAAGTGGAGTCGGAGTCGGAGTCGCTAAACAAAATTGCAACTCCGACTCCAATAGTAAAACTTCTCGGTATTGTACTTGCATGTACAAAGTAATTAACCTTCAAAAAACTTTTCATATATTTGGCAAAAAAAATTTTTAATCATCGCATAATATTTCGAACATAATTTAGAATTTTTCAAAAATTTTGCTTTGGAGTCGGATTCGGATTTGGAGTCTGACTCTGAAAATTTCAAAAATTGGAGTCATTGTCGGTACTTTTTTTTTTACAACTCCACACCCCTGATTGCAATGGCGACAAAAACCAGGACTAGCTATATGACAGCATTCTGGAAAAAATTATATCTTTTAACCAAATTGTTTCTTTGTAAGCGCTTTTAGAAAAATTAGTTTTGCAACTACTTTTCTTCAATGTACACTGCAATATACAAAAAATAACATAAGTGCAGTCTTCAAGCATCTGCTTGCTTCATTTTTGCTAACTTTTTAACTGGATGACGACAATTTGACTAGAACGTTTTTGCAGGTTTGCCTTCAACCTTACTTTTATTTTTTAAATGTAAAATTGCCTTCTAACTTCTACAAGTTTTAGCCGGATGAGAACTTATGTTCAAACTGAATTCAGGGTCAAAGTATTTGATCTTTTAAAGTTATAGTTTATAACTAGATTTCAATTTTCATCAAAATATATTTTGGCGCTCAAAATATAGGCCAAAGTTTAGAAATCTTTCAATAAAAAAATAAAAACATGCAGGTTTTAATTTATTTTCAATGGTATCCCTTGTCAACCTGCTGAAAAAGTGGCTCAAAAAAAAACTATAGCCTAAAAACTTCTAAAGAGCAGTGTATAAATTAAATAAGTTATTAAGATTATTGTCCTATAAATTTATTCCACAAAATAAAATACTACATTCAAACAAAAAATGTTAAAAAGAAACTGTAAACAATAATGTTTTGGAATAAAATAGTAGCAAAAGAAGAGGAAAATTGCAAAAAATCAGTAAATTTGAAAAAAAAGTTTAAAAAATCTGTATAAAAAACTAGTATAAATGTAAAATATCAGTTTTACAAACCGATGCTTAGGTGCAAACCAAATACAGGTTTAAAAACTTGCAAATAAGCGAAAATGCATTTATGCAAACTGCCAATTTTTATAAAAAAGTAGAAATATACATACTTGTTAAACCATGGAAATAGAAAACAAATAACTTTGTAACAAATGCAAATTTTTATTAACAAATAAAAATATAAAGCTGCAAAAAATTATGTTTTATTATTAGACCCGTTTTATTATTGGATCATTTGGCTCCCCATCAAAATAACGGTTTTAGCCGTTGTTTTCTTTGATGGTTAAATTTTACTTTCAACTTTTATAAAAAATTTAAACCTTTTAGCTGTTTTTTTTTAAATAATTTCACAGGATTTCAAATAAAAATATAAAAGCAACATATATTAGTATTATTTTAAAATGATTATTTATAAAAACGAACCGCCAAGGTAAGGAGACTTTTACCTTGGTCTATGTAATTGTTTATATGTTTAACTTAAAACGGGTTGTATTCAGCTAGTAACTCTATAGAGCCAAAAAAAGAAATTCTATTATAACATGATTCAAATTACTGGTCTGATTCATAAAATGCTAATCCTCTAACGCATCTTGTGTAGAAAAAAACTCGATTTTAGTTAATAAACCGACATAAATAAAACAAAATTAAAAAAAAACAACAGGTTTAAGATAAAAAGTGTATAATTGAGATTTTTTTAATCAAAGTTCAATGAATCAAAGATTTTTAAACTAATTAAAAAAAAAGTTTGATTTCTTTTTGGTTGGCCTCTTTAAACACCCTGGCCCCTCAGCGGCTGCCTATGCCGGCCATGGGTAAAGACAGGCCTAATTCTGATTATTATTAAAACAATTTAAGATCATTTCAATTGTCTCAATTTCAATAAAGCAAAATAAACTTAAATAAAAATCTATACTTAATTAAAAAACTGTTTTTACAAAACAGTTACTTATTTTTATCTATTTCTAAATATTTAATCAAAATAAAAATGGCTAAACACGAAGAATATGTATCTATAACAATGATGAGAGAAATAATGCACGTACAAAAAGAAACAATTATAGCTTTTTTTCGTGAAATTACTAGCAGTTTAAATATAAAAATTGACACGCTTCAAAAAGATGTTTATGATGTAAAAAAGGAACTTTGTGAAATTAAAGGAAGCATGAACTTTATTGGTGATGAATGGGAAGTCAAAGTAAAGGGTGTTGATAATAAAATCGCAGTCGTAGAAATAGCTAATGTAAAAAAAATTACAAGGAAAAATCATTTCAGATAACACTGAACTCAAATCAAAAAGCGTAGACATTGAGTGTAAAAAACAACTTTAATTATTTTAAGGGTTTTAGCTAAGTTATTCTCTTTCTTGTAACATTGTGTTAACTTACTAATATATCCGTAACAAAAACTTTTACAATCCAAAAATTGAATAATCAAGAAAAACCAGATAAAACCGGTAATAAATAACAAAAAGCCGTATAATAATAAAACACTTTTAACATACACCCCTATGTTGACTTGGTCAACTAATAATATAACTCTTTTAAACGCCGCAAATATTCGCCTGCGCTCGCTGCCTGTCTGATCGGCCGCTTATAAATTGACCTGCACGTTTCATCAGTAGCAATCACACCTAGTTCATTTTCGTTTGATTTGTTGGTAATTTCAAAAGGTATTAATTTTTGAATAGGTCGGAAACATGTTGTTCTAATTCCTTCTTTGGATAAAACTTGTAAACGCGCACCTCGTACTTTTCCATCAGCTCCTCTAATAAGTTCCAAAACTTTTCCCATACGCCATTGACTTCTAGGGATCTTGATATCATCTTGTATAAGAACTACATCGTTTAATACTAGCTGTTCGTTGTATGAAGTTTTACTTTTTACGTATAAATGGTGTTGTTTAAGTTCATTAAGATAAGAAGTTGCAAACCTTCTCCAAAAGTTAAATATCGTTGTTTTTATAAATATAGCTCTTTTCGAAATATCATTAGGTAGTAGACTAATTCCATTTATTTTATTAACAATATTTCGTCCATACATTAAATGGTATGGTGTTAATGCTTCTTCAGTGTCATCCTCGCTCATGTAAAATAATGGACGACTGTTTATCACAGATTCGATTTCACATAAAATCGTTTCGAGTTCTTCGTAAGATAAAAGAGACTTACCAATTGTTTTCTTCATTGTAATTTTTACAGATCTAACTAAACGATCGTAGAAACCGCCCCACCAGGGGGAAGCTGGTAGAATAAACTTCTGTTGCACATCATTTTTCATCATAAAATTTTTAACTTCCTTAGGATATAAAGGTCTTAAAATTATCGGAGATAATAAGATCAGGAAAACCTATTCGCGCTGCAAAACGCTTAAAAACTCTTATGAAGGCCGGAATATTCATGTCAGGTGTCAGTTCAAGATGGATTGCTCGACTAGACGCGCAAGTCAATAGTAAAACATAGACCTTACAGGCAGCATCCTTATTAACTGTTTTTACAAATAAAAGTCCTGCATAATTTAAACCAGTTGCTTGAAAGGAATATAAATTATTAACTCGAAAATCAGGTAAATCTGGGCTGCTAGGTGGTAACAATGTTCTTCCTTGGAACTTCTTGCATGTTACACATTGTCTAATAATACTTTTTATCGTCGATCGTCCTTTTATTGTCCAGAATTGAGATCGTACTTTATTCAACGTCGATTCGATTCCATGATGCAAAACTTGTTCATGACAGTTACGAATCAGTAATATTGTAAACCAACTTTCTTTTCCACGTAATATTAAAGGATATTTTTCTGCAAAGTTTAAATTAGCATTTTCAAATCTTCCTCGTAATCGCATTAGTTTGTCTTCGCCATCAAATAACTTTAAAGAGTTTTTCAGTTTATCAAAACTTTTGTCATTTTGTAAAATTCTTTGCTCATCTCTAATCCATTCATTGAGTGCAAATTTGTACTCATCTGTCGTCAAAGTAACTTGTTTGTTTAATGGTAGCTTTTTAATTGTTTTTAACAAATTGTTGATAAATCGAAATACATATCCAGTACTAATAATTAACTTTTCAAATGAACTAAATCTACATGCATCAATGATACTACTC